TTTCAGGCCCATCTCGTATCTCCCCTTCACTGCCTGAGGCTGACCTGGTTGGCCTTTGGCTTCATTTCTGAGCTGCTTTAGTGCAGAAAGACTTGTGAATTCACATAAGGACCACAAACTGAGCTTGTTTAGCCTCTGCATAACCTTTTCCCCAGCTCTTACATCTCTACATAGTTCTCCTTATAAAATGGACGTCTCCCTTTTGTCCCTAGCCTAGATCACTCTAGGGGACATTCCCAGTCCAAAGATCAGGTCAGATCAGGCCCTGACTGGGTTCCATCGATGTTAAACCTTTATAGAGCTAGGTCTGTAAATGTGCAACTGGCATGGCAGGGATGACTCAAAATTATGGTTTTCTATCCATGATTCTGAGAGCCACAATATTCTGAAACATATAAGAGAGAACTGGAAAACTTCAACCCTGAATAGATGAAATCATATTATCTGTGGGCAGGTGAGAGTTACAAAAGAAAGATAACCAGGAGACCTTCCTACAAAAGCCCTCAAGAAATGCCAAACACCCATTTAGAGGAATAAGACCTCAAGGTATGATTACTGTTTTCTGAGCCCTTTGTGGGGTCCATCTTAGAAACACCAGAAACACTTAAAATACACAGGGTACTCACGTAAAAGCCCTGAACTCCAGAAAACTCTGCCTGGCCCACATAGAGGAGAGTCAGCATCACTTCCCCAAAGCACTATACTTTATTGAAATTAACTCTTCCACTCTCTGAATTTTAACACTTGAGTAACTGAACATGTATCAAAATGGAGACAGTTCCTCTGAGTGATTTTAGAATACTAAAGTCAGAGGATTGAGAAATTATTTTTATTTGAAAGAAAAACATCAGGAAATATATATTTCCTCCAAAAAGAGCTTGAACTACACCAATTCAAATAATTTTCTGAATTTTAATTGAAGTGGAAATGGTGTCCAGACGTTCAAAGTGGAACACTTGTCTGTTTGAAGAGCTTTCCTCTAAATGAATTTGACAATTGATATATACCTGAATTAACATTATTATGTAACATATTATATAACAGATATAGATTTACATATATATAATTATTAATAAAATTAATGGTTTCTCCCTCTGTCCAGTGAAATGGCCTAAGGGTAATGGCATCTCAGAAGGGACCAGCCTAATTTAAAGCCCAGATTATAATTTCTAAAATTAATTTTCCATGAAAAGGAAGCAGGATTTTTGGAAAGATAATTGATTCCACGTCTGGGGAATGAAGGTATAAAAGAATGTAGAACTTCTTTATCAGAAGCCAAGGTTTCATTCAAGGGTTAGTGAAATCAGATCAAAAGAGAACAGGAACCAAATTATAGAGGTTTGCTTGTGACAAGATGAGCATCAAAAACAGAATAATGACTGCCGTTAACTGAAATACATTAAATCTATTAAAGTCCTGAGTCCATGATACACAAAAAGATAAATATTAATTAAATACACCTTCTTGAAGAAGGTCAAGAGATCAGAATATATTCCTACTGGATCTTATTAGTTATTGTTGACACATTGATCACATTGTTGAACGATACACAATCTAGTAAGCATTAAATATATCACCTAAAAGACATTTTTTGACTCAAGGAAATGGCCTTATAAGTGAGACATGCAGTCAGATTGAAGACATGACAACTATGATCAATCTATCATTTTTAAAATCAGTCAGATTTGTATGCTTTTAAGAATATGAATGAGTCGAACATTGCATTAAAGTTTAAAAGTCCTTAGAATTCAGAGGAAAAGATATTTACAGATCTAAATGTTCTAATCAGCTACTTATCCTGGGTGGAGCTGCAGACTTCTATGAGCAGAGAGAATTATGTGAGTCAATCCTCTGTTGAAATTATGAAGGAATTATAATAACTAAAAAGGTTTAAAGTGTTTCTTCAGATCGACAAGAATCTAAGTTTATTCCTCTGGGCAAATTCTCTAGAAGTGAATAACCTAATTAACTAGACTATTAACCGACTTCCATGATTGGGTTAGCCCCTTTCAGCCTTAGGGAGATTTAGTAAATATAGGCATTTTTGTGAAAGTTAAAATAGAGCATTGATATTTTTGCATTTCTAAGAGAATCTGACCTATTATGATAGCTTGGAATCTAATCTGAGGTATGCAGTCAAGGAGTTTATTTAGATGAAACCTTACATTTTATATTCAGGATTAAAACATCTAAGAGAACCTTAGGTCAACTGTCTTCATAAATAAATTTTACTCACAGGGTGTGAGAATTCCCAATGTTCCACAACCACCTACAAAATGAAAGCCAAATGGTATGCCAGTGAAGTTAATGCCTTTTTATGAAGTAGAGCATTTTGCAAATTGTTTGATATTTGTGTTTCCTTTTTGTAAAATGCCTGGTTGTGTGTTTTGCTCATTATGTGCTTTGTATTTTTTCTTATTGATTTTTTTAACTAAACCGTTTTTAGTTATCTATGTTGCATGTAACATTTCCAACTCTGTTGCTTGTCTTTTCACTTTTTCTATAGTGTCTTTCAACAACTGTATCAACACTTTCCTTTTGACTAGCAATTTTAAGAAATCCTTTGAGTCAAATATGTTCTTATATATTCTTCTAAAGGTTTTAATACATTTCTTGTCCCTTTGCCTTCTTTCAGGCTGGAATGAATTTTTGTTAATGGTATAAGATGTGGATCCAAATGAATTGTTTTGTCTTTATGCATATGAAATCGTCTCAGCATAATATGTTCTATCATAGTTTTCTTCAATGTTCTCTCTGTCACATGCCCTTTGCATTTATGCAGAGTCTGTTTCTGGGCTGTCTATTCTATTCCATTGATCAATTGTCCCTGTGCTGATACCATATCATCCTCATATGGCTTTAAGTCTTTATATCCAGCAGAATAAATTCTCTCACCTTATTCTTTTCCTGTATGAACATCTTGGATATACTTGAAGGTTTGCTCTTCTATACAAATTTTTAAATCAGCATGTCAAGATCCTTATAAAACACTTAGGATTTTCAGTGAAATGTCATTGAATGATAGGTAATCTGGGGATAACAGATACCTGTGTGATGTTGCATTTTCTATCCACCAAAGTGTTTTATCTTTCCATTTATTGGTGTCTTGTTTAGATTATTTAAATAATGTTTATAATTTTATCCATATGGCTATCATACCTCAGTCTTATTTAACAAAAAAGGCACCATTTTTTGTTATTATTATAAGTGACATGTTTTTAAAATGTATGTTTTCTCTTTATTGCTATTTTTAAAAAATACAATTAATTTTTGCATAACGATCTTAACCTAGACATTTTGCTGAACCTTGACTAGTGCTAATAATTTGCATGAAATCTTTTTAAAATTTTCAATATACATAGTTTTATCTAGGATTAATAACGGTTTCCTTTTCTTCCCATCCTTTTGCTATCTCCTTTTCTTCTTTATTTTAATAGGACTTTCTTTAGCCAGGACTTTCAGTGCAATGTCCAATAGGTGTGATAATAATAAACTTTTAATCTGGTTCCTGATATTAAAGGAAATTCTTCTCTTTTTTTTTTTACCCTTATAATGTTGAGTGTAAGTTATTGACCCTTGTTATGTATCTGGTACTTCCCAACCTTTTGAGCATGATTAGCACCCACAGAAAATACAGTTTTCAGCATGCAATGATGGAAATGGATGAGGCTTCTCAAGGCAGGAGACAACAGACCAGGTTGTTCTGCCGACTCAGGCCACACCAGCTGCACCTAAGGCTGAGGAGATAACATGGTAGCACAGCTGCAACATATTCTTGGTTTGTAGGTTAAAGCTTTATCTTGATCTGAGGAATGTATTGGGTTGGCCAAAAGGTTCGTTCGTTTATTTCTGTAAGATGGCTCTAGTAGCACTTAGTTGTCTTTAACTTCATTCGAAACAATTATGTTAGATTGTATGCGACAGCTGTCATATCAGTGTGCATTTAAAAGAAGACATCAAAATTGGTGAGTTTTTGTGTAGCCATTTTAATACTGAAGATGGAAGAAAAAAAGCAACATTTTCGTGCCTATTGTGCTTTATTATTTCAAGAGAGGTAAAAACACAACTGAAATGCAAAAAAAGATTTGTGCAGTGTATGGAGAAGGTGCTGTGACTGATCGAACACGTCATAAGTGGTTTGTGAAGTTTTATGCTGGAGATTTCTCCCTGGATTATGCTCCATGGTTGGGTAGACCCGTTGAAGTTGATAGAGATCAAATCTAGACATTAACTGAGAACAATCAGTGTTATCTCATGTGGGAGAGAGCCGACATACTCAAAATAGTCTAATCAAGTGTTGAAAATCACTGCACCAGCTTGGTTACGTGAATCGCTTTGATATTTGGGTTCTACATAAGTCAAGTGAAGATGACATTCTTGTCCGTATTTCCTCATGCGATTCCCTACTGAAATGTAATGAAAAGGTTCCGTTTTTAAAACAAATTGTGGCGGGCAATGAAAGGTGGATACTGTTCAATAATATGAAATGGAAGAGATCGTGGGGCAAGCGAAATGAAACACCACCAACCACTCCAAAGGCCAGTCTTCATCCAAAGAAGGTGATGTTGTGTATTTGGTAGGATTGGAAGGGAGTCCTCTATTATGAGCTCCTTCCGGAAAACCAAACGATTAATTCCAACAAGTACTACTCCCAATTAGACCAACTGAAAGCAGCACTTGACAAAAAGCATCCAGAATTAGTCAACAGAAAATGCATAATCTTCCATCAGGATAACGCAAGACCGCATGTTTCTTTAATGACCAGGTAAAAACTGTCAAATCTTGGCTGGGAAGTTCTGATTCATCTGCCATATTCACCAGACATTGCACGTTTGGATTTCCACTTACTTAGGTCTTTACAAAATTCTCTTAATGGAAAAAATTTCTATTCCCTGGAAAACTGTAAAAGGCACCTTGAACAGTTCTTTGCTCAAAAAGATAAAAAGTTTTGGGAAGATGGAATTATGAAGTTGCCTGAAAAATGGCAGAAGGTAGTGGAAGCAAAGGGTGAATATGTTGTTCAATACTTCTTGGTGAAAATGAAAAACGTGTCTTTTATTTTTACTTAAAAACTCAAGGCACTTTTTGGCTAACCCAATAACTAGGAGGACCAAACTGGCCCAGTATTTTTATTTCTTTTGTTCAGTCCTTGGGTACCATTAGCAGCAGTGGTTTCAGTTGCTGGGTATACAAAGGCAGATCAAGAATAAATATCACACATGCATATTCCATTCGAGTCCTCTTGGAAGAATAGGAAAAGAGTCAGTGTAACCTGCTATGTGCTGAACCTTCTCCCCTAGGAATATTTCTCAGAAATAGCTGCAAATGTTGCTTTTCCTATTGGAAAGCAGCATAATTTTATGAACTATTTGAACTTCAGCAGAGCCCGGTGGTATATATTGCCATTCAGCCCATCACTGCATGGCTTGAGTTCCACTATGTCTACTCCTTTCCTGGGCCCACTTTGCCACTTCGAGTGATAGAACTAGAGCATCAACTTTATTTCAGTCACCTTCAGAAACTAGAAGGAATTCTTTGGTGAGCAAGAGCTCTACTTTGATTTGCACTCAGGATTGCCATAGTGATTTCTGAAGAATGGTACGTGACACAGGGGTCCCTTTATCATTCAGTTATCTATGTCCACTTACCAGACCAAACTGCAAGTCCATAAGCAACCACTCAAGATTCAATAAGCACGTAATTGTGGGGATTTTACTTGCATCCAGTTCTCTTACTGCCAGGAATAGGGACTGTAGCTCAGCCCACCGGGCTGCTGACTTGCTTTTGCCTTCTTCTGTGAAGGGTTTGTGATTTGCTGGACACAGGACAGCTACTTTCCTCATGGAGCCATGGCTCTCCATTCTGGAACTGCCACCTGTGAATCAGGCCAAGTCCCTCATATCCTTGGGCAATTGTTGGAATGATGAGCCCCATCAGTAAGAGCAGCAGACACGTCTTCAGATGGCCTTTTCGGAGGTCCTAGTGGAAAACAGGCTACTTGCTCATGAATAAGTTATGAATAGGTTGAGTCCCACTGTGTATCATGGCTGTAATATCGCTTCCATTTTATGATGGAATTCAACATTTCCCTTCTTGTTGGGATGCTTTTTTGATACTACTCATGATATGGGGGTAATTCAGCAGTCGATATAATTTTATGCTCTTCAGTTAATGGGGCTGTCAGAGTAAACACCCAATAACTAGCTAGTAACTATCTTTAAAAGAAATACACCACAGTATATCTGAGCAGTATAAGATAATTTTCTAGTTGACCATGATTATGGGCTTTTGCCAAGAAGACTTGAGTCTGCATGAAGGCAGGTGGTTGACACTTTGAATAGCATTTCTGCATTGGTGTCTGTATTAGTCAGCACAGGCTGCTTTTAACAAAATATCATAGACTGGGTGGGTTAAACAACAGACATTTATTTCACAGGTCTCGAGGCTGCGAAGTCTGAGATGAGGGTGCCAGCATGGTCAGTTTCTGATGAAAGCTCTCTTCCTGGCAGGCAAGTGGCTTCCTCATATGGGGGAAAGAGAGCTCTCCTGTCTCTTCTTCTTCCTATAAGAACACTAATCCCAACATGGGGGACCCACCCACCCCATGACCTCATCTAAACCTAATTATCTCCCAAAGACCCTATGTCCAAATACCATCACATTAGGAGTTAGGGCTTCAACATATGAATTTACAGGGGGGCACAAACATTCAGTTTATAACATTATGCCTCTGGATCCCCCAAATTCATGTCCTTCTTGCATGCAAAATACATTCACCCATCCCAACAGCCCCCCAAATCCTAACTCTTTCCAGCATCAACTCTAAATAAGTCCAAAGTCTCATCTAAATTAGACGTGGTGAGATGTGAGGTATGATTCATCTTGAGGTAAATTCCTCTCCAGATGAGAACCTGTGAAACCAGCTACTTCAGTCAGTTCAGGCTGCTGTAACAAAATACCACCAACTGGGTGGCTTAAGCAACAAAGATTTACAATTCTGGAGGCTGGAAACCCAACATTGGAGAGCAGCATGGTTGAGCTTTGGTATGGCCCTCCTCCTGGCTTGCAGGTGGCTGTCTTCTCTCTGAATCCTCCCGTGGTGGAGAGACAGAGCACGAGTTCTGGTCTCTTCCTGATCTTATAAGGACACTAACCCCATCATGTGCCTGCTGTGATCTCATTTAAACCTAACTGCCTCACAAACACCCACCTCAAAATACCATCAGATTGGGCATTAGCACTCCAACATATGAATTTAAAGCTCCAACACAATTCAGTCCATTACGGTCCACACAGGATAGTCTGAGCTACAGACTCTGCAGTTTCAAGAAGGCTTGTGTTGTTCAAGCTTCTAACCAAAAATGACCTTTTCCCAGGTGATGTAAATTAATTAGGCCCAATAGTGTCTTTAAGTGGGGGATATGATTTTTCCAAAAGCAAGTAGGCCTATTAGGCATTAGGCCTCTTGTCTAGTCTAATAATGGAGGTTGGAGAACAAGAACATTGTATCCCTAGTGGTCTGCAGTGTATCACAGGGCACTCCAGCCCATATAATCCTCCCGAAGTTTACAGTCTATGTAAGGTTCTGGATTTTTTTCGGGGTTCATAAACCATCTTCCATCAGTCATATGATCATAGTAAAGTTGCTTTCAGGTTGATTCTGTTTCAGAAATAATCATAATGTCATCTCTATTGAGCACTAGAACACAGTAATCTAGTTTTATTACACTAGATCTGCCTCACTATCCTTGTGACAGTACTTAAGGGAGTTCAAATATCCTTGAGTCAAATGTACATTGGAAAAAGTTCCACATGAATGCACACTGTTGATGACACTCCCTAGCAACCGATATTGAAAAAAGGCATTAGCCAAGTCAGCTATGGAAAACTGGTCATCTTTAGTTTGTTGAGTAATGTGTAGCAGTTGAACAGTCTGGACCATACTGGGGACTGCAGAAGCTATTAGGGCTGCTGTTTACTGGAGTCTCCTGTAGCCCTGGGTCAGCCTCCACGATCCATCATCTTCCTCACGGGCAACATCAGGTTACTGTGGAGTGAGGGTGTGGGATCAACACACCTGTCCTTAATTAGGACGGTAATTTTTTGTGGCTGTAGACACATGACAGTGGTTCAAATTAACCACTTCAAAACTCTAAAGGCTCCCATTATTCAAATCCAGTTACTACTGGATTTAGGGCAGATCTACAAGTTGTTTATCTTCCTTGTTCTACTCAGTACAGGGAAGGATTTTTAGTCAATGACTACATAGATGGCAATGATACATTCAGGTGAGGAAGTTACCCCCACAGCAGAATTTTGAAAATCACTTATTCCAACTTTTAATGACTTTACTTTTTATTCTTCTTATAGTAGCATCTCTCTATTCCCCTAAATGAATTCTATCACCTCCCCAAGGGGCTCACGAGCAGGCCAAGGCACTGCTCCTGTATCCAGCTGACCTAAAAGAGTTTCTTCTCCATCGGCAGGCCATCTCACCCACACATTTGTAAAAGGCCTTGGTTCTCGCACAGGAATTGGTCAGGAGAGCCCATCCTTCATGTCATGCTCTTCCTCTATTCCTGCCTGTGGTTGGCAGTATTCTAAAGATGTCCTATCAAGATTCACATACCCTGTTGATTCAGTTGAAAACTAATCTAGGAACTTCCCTGAAGGGACTTTAAAGATGGAATTAAGGTTACTAATCAGGTGAATTTACAATGGCGAGAGCATCCTGGATTATCCAGGTGGACCCAGTGTAGCCACATGAGCCCTTGAAAACTGAAGAGGAAGGGCAGAATCCAGAGAGTTGGAGCAGAAGGGAAAGTTAGAGAGATCTGAAGCATGAGAACTAGATTGACTGCTGCTGGCTTTGAAGGGGACCACAATCAGGGAATGTAGGTGGTCTTCAGAAGCTGAGAAGAACTCCCAGCCACCAGCCAGCAAGGAAGCGGGCTGCAGTTCCACACCCACATGGAAGTGGATTCTACCAGCAACTGGAATGAGCATGTAAGTTCTTTTCCAGAGCCTTCTGACACCTTGATTTGGCTTTGTGGGACCTGGAGCAAGGAAACTAGCTGAGCTTACTAGGCTTCTAATCTATAGAACCATGAGATAGTAGAGTCTATTGTTTCAAGAAGTAGTAATAGAAAACCCATACCTTGCCTTAGTAGTAAATGTGTGCATTTTGGGAACTCGATGCTGTAGGCTCATGAGAACCTTTCTCTATCTGAATTTCCCCTAATTTTGGACAAGACAAGCATTTCTGCTTTGATATTTTTATATCTTGGGAAGTTCAAGGAGAGACAGTTGTGTTTCCTTGGCTTCATATAAAATTCTATCCAATTTCCTCCTTTTTCTTTTTTTTTTTGCGGTACACGGGCCTCTCACTGTTGTGGCCTCTCCCGCTGCGGAGGACAGGCTCCGGACGCGCAGGCCCAGAGGCTATGGCTCACAGGCCCAGCCGCTCCGCGGCATGTGGGATCCTCCCAGACCGGGGCATGAACCTGTGTCCACTGCATCGGCTGGCGGACTCTCAACCACTGCGCCACCAGGGAAGCCCCAATTTCCTCTTTTAATGCCATTTTAAATCAACCATCTAAAGACTTCTACACCATTAGGTCATGAATTCTTGCCTTTTACTTGTTTTGATTACTTTTTTTGGTAAAACCCAAACATTTGTATTATCCTGAAGTCTTATGGGAGGAAGCTGGGATTAAAGATCCCACGCTGCCTCTTTTACATACTCTGAGGTCTCAAGAACAAAATCACATATGGTGTCGATGGTGGTGGGACGTCTTGTATCATAACCTGCGTGAGGGGCATCAAATAGTGAGTTTGTTTCACTGTCACAGAGCCAGTCCAGCACTGTCTGCATCAGCAGCATTTCTGCAGCTTCAGTAGATACTGACATTTCAATGACAAGGGAAGGACAGAGCAGTTACTCTTCTCTTCTATTCATTCTAGGAATGAATAGCTCCTGTCCTAATCCACTCTCGTCAGCAATGATTTTTCCTAGAACTAGCTCCACAAAGATAGCAGCCAAAAGGATCAGGGATGAATGCAAACATCCCCCTCTACTCAACAATGTTCCAAGCCAGAGACACTGCAACTTGATCTAAAATTCTCAGGAGCCATTTTAACAAGGGTCATCAGGACAGTGCTTGTAACAATTTACAAAATGCCTCCACTTTGTTACTAATTAATCCCTTACTCCACTGGCTTCCTGCCCTCCATGATCTACTGGCCCTGCCTGGATTACCTTCTTGGCTGTAGCGGGTCTCCCAGGCTAAACTGACCCATCAGAAGTTATATTGCCCAGGTTCCTGTGGTTGGAGCTCCACTTGCTAGCCAAAGAGGATGAAACTCAACCCAAGGATATACTGAAACTTTACTTTTGCTAACGTTAAAAGCTTCAACTGGAACGGATTTAGCCAACCTGCCATCAGTTTGCTCTTGTCTTCTAATTTTGCTCGCTCTTGGCATTTAGATTCTACCATTTCTAGATTGCAATGGAAAGTCTTATAATCAGTAACTGAGTTCAAAGCCTGTGCAACTTCAAACCAAGTGTGGAAACCACCTCTGCACCAATAGTTCATTTTCATCCCCTTTCTCAGAATCATCCTTTTTCTTTCTAAATAATGCCTAAGCCACACTTTCAGCAAAAAGTAAGTCAGAAGTCTACTAAGCAATCCCACGTCTAATGCCAACTGTACCAAAAGAGTGTTTGATTGCTAAAGAAGACGGCTTAGGACCCAAAATAACAATGCTTATAAATTTATACTCTACTATAGGAAAAGGATACAATATAACTATAGTTATATATCTCATAGCGAGGGGTCTGGGAAGGCTTGGTACAAGTTTCTATCTTCTATAAGGGTCAAGATTGTAAGCACTTTCTTTCTTGGATCAGAAAGATCTACACGTGCATAGAATGCCTTGGAACTAGGTAGCCCAAAATGGAATATCACTGGGTTATAAAATATTTTGCTGGTCATATACACATATTCTTGTTACAAAATCAGCCTTAACGGTAGAAGTTTCCGGGGGGGGGGGATGCAAATCATCAATCTCATTCTTGCCAATAAACAATGCTGACAGGCTCGTAAAAACCACCCTAAAACTCCTCCAAACCATGGTTACAAAAGCGACATTACTAATCAGCATGTTTCACGTGTTGGAACCAGAGGTTAGTGTCATGCAGGAACTTTAGCAATACAGTTCAGACAGATTCCAGGTCTGCTAGAAATTAACCTGCACAGCACATCATGTTGAAGAATGGTCCTATTCCTAATTTTCTATTATGACTGGGGAGTTGATAGATATCAAATTCTTTCACTGCATTTAATCATTTAAATGACTACATATTTTTCATCTTTTATCTGTTACTATGCAAAATTTACACTAATTTTTCCCCCTAATGTTAACCCACGTTTGTTTTTCTGGTGCTTTGCTAGACCTGGTTTGATAATATTTTACTTGGAATTTTTTTCCATTTTTGTTCATGAATGAATTGACCTGTATAATTCCTTTCTCATTCCACGCCTCCTCTGGTTTTGTTACTAAGTTTATACAAGCTTTATTGAACCAACTGGGGAGTGTTACCTATTTTTCTATTCTCTGGAAGAGTTTGTAACAGATTTTTTTTTCCATAAAAGTTGTATAGCGTATTTTCTTTTTAATTTCAAACTTCTGATTCGATTTCTTTAATGGCTATCCAATTACCGTCGTTTTAGTTTTAGAATCTATCTTGGTATGTTGAATTTTTATAACTTTCCGATTTTATTTTTTCATAGATATTGTGATAAAGTTGATCATTTTAATCTCGGCTATCTATATTTATGCCCCTCTTTTGGTCCTACTATTATTAATTAGTAATTAGTTTACTGAATAATCAATAATGGCAACATTTTCTCCTTCCCCTCCAAGAGACTGTTGTAGGCTGGAAACTTGCAGTGGGATAGAGGGTCTTGATTTACCTTCTCTCTTTTTGCCTTTCCAAGCTAGCTAACTGGGCCTTGACTCGTCAAGACTTGGTATGTAGGGAATAAGAATGGGATGAATGAAGGAGCTGTCTTACTTTAACTGGTCCAAGATTAAAATGACTTCCACCTCCCCGGGCCTGAAGTATGATTCAGCCTGTATCCTGGTGATTTCTGAATGCTTTCGATGTATTTTCATTTCTTCATCCTCTTTCATGTCTTCTCTATTTCTGGGTTCACTATAACAAGAAATGTACCCGTTTTATCGATTGCTTCAAAAAACACACTTTAGGACTTCTTTGAGTCTCTCTACTGTATCTTTTTTCCTATCTCTCTAAATGAGTTAAGGTTTAAAGCATTTAGAACACAGCCTGACTATATATGTACCATAAGTGATAACTCTTATAACCCACTAGGAAATAAACTTCACTAGGGTCCACTTTGTTCAATGCTATGTTCTCAGCCCATAGGACAGTTCCTAGCACAGTAAAATAAAATGAATGTCTTTTATCTTTTGAGCCTTCTTTTTCTGTTGTTTCTCCCACTTCTTAAAGAGAATATTTATTTCACTAATTTTCATTCTAAAATAAAAGAACATTTACGTCTATAAATTTCTCTAAATGTACAAATTTTCCTGCATCCTACAATTTTAATAAGCATATTTTCCTTTCTTGTTTAGTTCTAAGTATATTTTAGTTCCTATCATTTTCAAACATGTTATTTGTGTTTTTAAATTTCTAGATTTGGGTAATATTTTCTTTTGTTATAGATTTATAAACTAATTGTGTTGTGGTCAAAGAATATATTCATAATAACAATTTTTTTTCAGTCTGTTGAAACTTACTTTATGATACACTAGGTATATGATTTTCTCTTACTTTTTCCATGTGTATACATTCCCTGCTTGTTGAATGTAGAGTTCTATAAATGTCTACTTTGTTTTCAAACTTTTGGTCTCAGGACCTCTATATATTCTTAAAAATATACCGAGGACCCCAAAGACCTTTTTTTAAAAAATGCGGGTTGTATCTAACAGTATTTCCCATATTAGAAGTTAAAACTGAGACACTTAAAAATAAAACTTTTTAAAATTGTCATTTAAAATTAACAATAAAACCATTAAACAACATCAAGAAACAACTATAAAATGTAATTTTTTCTAGTTTTTTTCCTCATATATGTTACACAAATCAATCTAAAAATTAATAGTATTTTCTGAATTTATTTCCCCTCAACACCACTAAATGAGATCTGCAGACCAGAAGCAACAGCATCACCCAGGAACTTGTGAGAAATACAAATTCGGAACTACTGACTCAGATTCTGTAAGGAGTGGTTGGAAACTGTGTTTGATCAGGCTCTCCAGGTAACTGATGCTTAGTACATATGAGAAGCATTGCTTTAATGCTGTACAATGATCTTTCCATTTAAAAAAATATAGCTTTATTCTTATTTTTAAACTTCTATTGTTAGAGTCTATATACAGAAAAGTACATGAACCATAAGGGCAGAGCTCAATGCATTTTCACAAAGTAAACACATCTGTGTAACAGCACTCAGATCAAGAAACAAAACATTAGCTGTACCCCTGACTTTTAACACTCTTGATTAATTTGCTGGTTTTTGAGCTTTAAGCTCAAATCATATCATGTAGTGAGTACCTTTCTTTGGTTTCTCACTTTTGCTCAACATTTTGTTCATGAGATGCATCAATGGAGTTCCCTTCACAAAAGTTAATTCATTCTCTATTGCTACATAGCACATTGCTATAGTATCCATTCTGCTATTAGACATTTGAGTTGTTCAGTTTTTTACAATTACAAATAGACCTGCTATAGACATCCTTGTACATGCCTTTTGGTTAGGATGTGTATGTATAACACACAAGGCATATATATGCATAATATGTAGTTCATTTGAAAGGGTTCCTAAAAACATGTCGTATTTAATACAGAACCTTCTAAATGTCAAAGAAATTCATCACCACTGGAGACAGATAATCAGGAAAAACACACATTTTTAATTAAAAATGTATTCCATATTGTACTATGAACTTACTAAACACAAGTTTTAGCATTTGTAAATTTAGCCTGTTTTCTATACAAAAACCTTTAAAAAGTTTGTTTTGTTTTGACCATTTTCAGATCAATGCTCTATTCTGATTACTTTCAAGTTGTCTAGGTCAGCAGTGTGCGATGGAAATACAATGCAAGCCACATATGTAGTTTTAAATTTTCTAGTAGTCTCATTGAAAAATAAAAAGAAACAGGTTAAATTAATACATTTTATGATCTCATACCTAAAATATTATAATTTCGACATAATCAAGATAATGAGAAACATTACATTCTTTTTTTACTGTCTTCAAAGTCCAGTGTATTTTTAGGTTTTTCCAGCCATACTTAAACATTTTCCAGTAACTGAATCAAGTATCAATTTAAAATTTAAGTTTATCGAAATTAAATAAAACTAGTATTCAGTAACTGCATCACACTAGCCATATTTCAAGAGCTCAATAGCCACATGTGGCTAGTGGTTATGCTATTGGGAAGCACAGGCCTGGGTCAAGAGTGGTTTTGTTGTGCTCCACCTGCCAATTTAAGCTGTGATGAAAATTCTAAAAAAATATATTTCCTTTTACACACTGTGGAAGACAGAATTTTGAAACAGATGAGAATGAGAATTTTTTAGTCTACTTCTTTTAGGGGGATACCTTTGTACTTTCCTCTCAATTATGCTGTGAATCTAAAACTGCTTTTAAAAAAGTAAAGCCTTTTTTAAAGAGAGTGCAACATAGGAGATTTTTGCTAAAATAGCAAACACGCTGATGGTAATAAGATTCAATCTAACTAACGAAGATTATTTTATACAAGGTGCAAGGGATGAAAACAGCAAGGCTGGTTCAGTAGTGAACTGTTGCGAGCGCTGCATAGTTAGTGGAGGACGGGACTAATGGGGGAGAAATTAGAGGAAACAACAGATAATGAAAGTACTAACACATAGTATACAGCTATGATTTTATTCTGTATCCCAGCGAGCAGTGTTAAAGTTTAAAGTAACCTGATTTTATATTAAAGTTCTGAATTGTATTTCTGAAACATCCATTTAGGAAGTGACACACAGAGTGCCTTAAGAGGGGAAACTAGAGGCTAGGAGCCCAAGTAGGAGGCTATTTCAATTATCCAAGCAAGAGAAGATGAGACCCTGACCTGGGGATAACGGAGATGAAGAAAATGGGGACAGATTGAAGAGAGATTTAGTCAATAAAAGCAACACACAAGATGTGGTGAGCAGTTGAATATGGAAAATATTAAGTAGGGAAATACCTAGCATAACTTCCAGGGAAATTGGTCAAACATTTGTACCATTAGCCAAAATAGGATGACTGAAAAAGGAGACAAGCGAGAGAGAGGGAGAAAATTCCAGGGCAGAAAGAAATCCTGAGAGGTAATGTCCTGTTACAGAAAAAATTCCAGCTCTGGAGTCTGGGACTTTGTTTCAAACTGCAACTCCATCATTTTAAATTATTAACCAAATTGGCTTCTGAGCCCCTTGGTCCTCATTTACACTATTTCTTTGAGAACTTTCGTGAGGAGTAAATATTTACATATGTTAAACTTTTAGAATAAACTAGATGCTCAATTAAAAAATATACGTATTTGAATATGCTGAATGCCTGCACTGGCTACTATGCTGTATGCATAAAAGGGATGAAACCTAGGGTTTGCTCTCAATCAGATTATAACTTAATCTTCTAGTCATTATGAGCTCTCTGCCTGATGGAATTTTGAACCTACGGTGACATCATAATCCATTTCTGTTCTCATAACACACGTTCAATAACTGACTTAATCTAAATCCTCTGGTATTTCTCCTCCTATAAAAGTTTCATGTTGTCAGATGTAGTTCCCGCAGCAGTCACTACCGTATAAAACTAGACCGCTTTTATAAATTACTTTTGTTACGCAGAAAAACAGATAGCAATATAAATATTTTATGGTAAGTATTTTACTTATTTCAAAAATCAGGAAACTGAAACAAATCATCAAAAAAAAAAATATCCCATGATCAGCTTCATGTTTTCAGGCTTCAAGAGAAACACTTTTTTAAAGGGGACTCTTTGCAAAAACGCATTCATGGAGCAAAATGAGACAGACCTCGCATTTTGCAAACAGGGCCAAAGAAAATTCCAAATTCATTCTGTAGACATATGTAAGGTCACGCAGCACCCAGAGCCTTCCATCTTTCTACCCACTGCTAACACCCACCTCTTTTCACGAATTTGACTGCTAACTGCTCAAGAGCAGCAGGTGAAAGAGACTGCAGGATTCAGCCTCAAGCGTTGCCACTCTCCCTCAGCTTCCGCTCAAACTCTAGCAGGCGTTTAACTTCCCGGAAACGCCCCCGACCCCCACGCACACCCACGCAACACTCCGCCCCACAGGAAAGCGCCCCTACACTAGGTTCCCACGATCCCCGAGGCGGTCCCCGAAGCAGAGGCTTTGAGGATGCGATCGCGCAGGCGTCCCAGTTCCGCGCAGGCGCCGTAGTTCCGCGCATGCTCAGAGCGGAGGTCGGAGGGGTCCTGGGAGGGTAGCGGAGGCCGGCCTGCCCCGCCCCCGCCAGGCTTCCCTTCCGCGCCCAGGCCGGCCGGCTTCCCTTTCCGGGAGCGCAGGCGGCGGCCGCCGGTGTCTCTTTCTCTCCGCTCCGCAGAGTTGGCTCTTGCAGCTCCCCTGCGGCGAGCATGGCAGCTCGGAGACGCGGGGCCGCCCTGCGGCTCTGTGCCACAGGTAAAGGCCGCACGGGGCGATGCGGGCGGGCGCGGGGACCCTCCCCCGATGGGATCGGCTGCGGGGGCCTGGTAGGGTCTTGGCCCGGTGTGGGGAGAGGCCTGCGGGGCCACCGAGATGCCCTCCGGGTCCTGGGTCCCGAGACTGAGCGGACGCCTTAGGGTCCTTCCCCGGCGCAGCTTCGCTGGGCATCCGCGCCTTCCGTTTGCTTCCGTTCTCGGTGCGGCAGGAAGTTTCAGGAGCGCTGATTCCGTCGATGGGTGTCAAGGATGCTGCCTTACCAGCTGGTGGCCAAACCTGCTTTGCCTTTAGGTTCTGAGTCTTGTCACATCTGAAGAATCTTTACCCACGCGGGGGCCAAGAGAGGGAGGTTCAAGGACGGGTCCTGGTCGGGCCTCTGGGGGCTGTGCGATGTGAGAAGTGACCTGCGGGCGTGTTGGCCTTTCTCATTCTCCGGCCAGCATCGGGTACCCTGGTTCTCACCTCAGTGTGTCCACTTACACAGCAGCCGTTTAGTTCCCTCTACGTGCCAGGCACTGTTCTATAATTAGTATTAGGAGCGTAGCTCAATTTTGTTTCTATCAATTTGGGGGCGGGGGGAACGGTATTTTGAATGGCGTTTGAACTTTATACTGAGAAAATAATTGTTACTAGAGAAAAAGAAATATAGAAGAACAATTTTCATCTCTACTCCAAAAAGATGGAATGGTAAAAAGGAAAAATAGGATGCAAATAAACATATTTAAAGAGAAATTCGGTGTCTCATATTTACTAGCCTACATAGAACTTGCTGTCACCATACGGTCGTAAATGTTTATTAAACAGGTGAACTACAGTACTTATGCTTTTGCATCATTTGTGCCCTGGGATGGATGAATGATGAGTTTTTTGGTAGGCTGTAAAAAACCAAAAACAAACATTTTATAGGTGAATAAGCATATAAGCCAAAAGATAAATCAGCATTTATTATACTGTATACATTTTGTCTTTTTTTTTTCAGTTTTTTTACTTGATATGGCTTTCTCTAAAGGATATGTAGAAGATTTAGATGAATCGTGAGTATATATTTTTTAAAATAGTATCTTCACTTCTTCCAACTGTTATGTTATCTGAATATTTGTATGAATCTAATATTTTTTTAAATAACACTTGTTTTATTGAGCACTTAATCTACACTACATAATCCGCTAATTCTGTATGGAGGTAGATTTTTTTTTTTTAAGTATAGTTGATTTACAATATTATATTAGTTTCGAATGTACTGTGAAGTGTGAATGTAATCTTTTAATAACAGAGACAGTAATGACCAATGCTGATGTAGCACCAGTTTTGTTCCAGGAGTTGCCCTAAGTGCTATATATGTATGAAATGGGATTGTGCTCAAGAGTTTTATGAACAGTTATAAGAATAAAAAATTGGCAGACTCTTTTATCTTACCATTTTACCTGTACATTTGTTAAGTCTTTTGGCCTTAGTCCCTACTGAGTGGGGGCTGGAATTTGGTAACCACACAGTAACACAGCATTAATCACAAGGCCTTGCTTATGGTAGGTGAGGAGTGCTGCTTCAGACCAAAATCCTGTGCGTGATTGATCTTTCAGACCTGACCATAGGCGATTACAAGGCTTTTCCTGGCAGGCCTCCAGCGGGAAGCTGCCCTCCCCACACCAGACTTGGGGCACAGCCAATGCACTGCAGTCTCTGGAGGGAGTTGTAGTCATAGACTCAGGCCCCCAGGGCAGCCGTGCTCATGTGCGTGTCTTCAATCTTAGCCCAGTTGCCTCTTGTGAAGGCCTCCTTGTTGGGGGCCTCACCTAAGGCATTTCTTAGGAAAACCTCCTCTGGGAAACTCCTTATTGAGGGGTGTGGCTGAGGCACTTTTCTCCACTTGGACTCAGTACCCGTCCACTCCTGTCCTTTCCCTTCTCCTTCCCTCTGCCCATGGGTCCTGAGAGAGGCAGGAGCCTTTGGTTCAGGGCTGCTCAGCAGTGAGGTGAATGTCTCCGACTGTGCTGCATTCGCCTGCCGCCTCGCCTCTTCCAGTTCCACTCAGAAAAATGGAACACTGAGGAGCTGGCACCTGTGTTCTCTGCCTCTTGGCTTGCACTGCCGTAGTAAGTGAATAAAGTCTTGATTGTGACTTTCAGTTTGGCTTGTTGTCCTAATTAACCACCTGTACACGACAGAATTGGTACAGCAGCAGGGTGGTCAGTTGAGCACAGTCCTGCTCTGGAAGAGCAGAAAGCCCAGAGATCCCACGGGGCACTCAGCAGCCTTGCTAATGGGTATTGGGGCGCCCTAGTGGATTGCTTATGGGCACTTTGATTCTCAGGGAAACCGTTGTTAACACAGAGGTGATTTTGTTAAACTTCATGGTGCCTGGAAGGGTGTGTCGCTCTAGACCTGATCCTTAAGAACGCCCCAGCAGCGTGACTTTGCTTAAGGAGGAGGAAGAAGCAGGGATAGGCAGGTGCGGATGCCCAAGACCCTAACCTTCCTCGGCCAGGTGCACGTGGACTAATGGTTTTGGCCCGTCTGTAGCGAATTTCCAGTAACTGAAGAACACATGTGGCCCACCTTCACAGAGGCTCAAGTGGCCCTGCAGGCCTCCTGGTGGTCTCCTGGGCCTGTGGGGAGGGATTAGGAACAGTGAGTAATGAGACTGTTAACCAGACTCAGAGTTCTAGGTTTGTCCTTTCTGTTCCTGTTTGTTACTGGACCCAGTTAAGCCTCCTCATGAAGTCAGGTCAGTCAGGCTGTGACACAATCCAAGCCTTAACTGACAAATTTCTGGACATGGAAAAAGCCACCATGAAGAGCACAAAGGTTGACCAGCACAGAGTAACAGTAAGTGGGAACTGGGTGCCCTCTCTGGGATGACCCATTCAAGAGCCTTTCCAGAAGCTCTGAGTGAGGTTGCTCAGTGATGGGGTCTCAAAGGAGGAGACTGATAGGCTCCTTACCAAGGACCTCATGGCCAGGTACCAACCTGTGAGGGGTCTGATGGGCTTTTTCAAAGGTCAGCATGATGACAGCCCTGTGGCTATTAGAATTACACCCACCATCCTGCCTAGTAAGTCTGGAGACAAGTCAGAGAGTCCCAAAACCTTTACCCAGACCTTGACAGGGTGTTCGGTTGAGGCCTCTCTCTCCCCGGGGGCAGGGGCTGCCAAGGTCAGAGTTCATTGGGGAGGTGGAGGAGAACTGCACGTCTTGGGCCTTTTGGATATCAGTATACAGGTGAGTGTGATGCCTACAACCCCTGCTACCAGGAGGAGGAGGGTACGCATAATGCCCTCAGGTTTTGGGTCTGTGATGACCAGTGCCAGCACGCTTGCCCAGGCCCGGTCCTGGCTGAGTGCTTTTGGGCCCCTACTCGTCAGCCTGCTACCTGGCACAGATGTGTTAGCTGTGTGCACTCCTGCTGGCCTTGGTCCCCAAGCCCCAGTGGGGATTGCTGCACTTTAGGCCATCTTCCTGCAGCATTGGAAGACTGAACCTACCCGACCTTCAGCTCTCAGTGCCATTGTCTCCCCAGAACGGTGTTGGCTGCCTGGTGAGTAAAAGAAATAACTGAGCTGAAGGAAGCCAGAGTGCTCTGTGAGCCTTTTTCTATTCAGGAGCCTCCCATCCCCACCCCCCGACCCCCTTCTGGCCTGTGCACAAGGCCTTGGGTACCTGGAGACTCAACATTGATGACAGGTGGCTCAGTACCATGGTGGTACCTGACATCAGGAAGATGCTACTAGAGGGAGCTTGGTCTGTGGCATTAATGATGTCACGTGCCAGCATGTGTCTTCACTGGGCTGATAAGGATCAATTTCCTTCATTTGGAATGGATTCAACACACCTTTAATATCCTATGCTTATCTAAATTCCCTGCCTGTCTGCTCTCAGTAGGTAGGCCATGACCTGGAAAAACTTCTAGAGGGAGCACAGACCTTCCACTATATTGATACCAGCTCCTAGATTGCCCAGACATGGTCACTGTCCAACAAGGACCCGACACCATGATGACTCACAGGTGGCAACATGGCTGGGCTGTTAATACCAACAAAGTGTAACAACTGAGATTCCTGGGGGGTGATCTGGGAAGCAGTACAACATCTCATTCTAGGAGATCATTACCAAACTCTTGGCCCTTTCTGACCCCCAAAATAAAAAAGGCTCAGGGATTGATGGGCTTATTGGGCTACTGATGTTGTCACATAACTCGTGCAGGAATCTGGCACCCATCTATCAGGTACTAGAAAGGCCACTGCCTTTTAGCTGGGCACCAACCAACAGGATACTCTAGAGGCCCTTAGGCTGGCCACCAGGCTTCCCTTCTCCTGGGTCTCACTGGTCCGCATCTGCCATTTGAGTTACACATCTCAGCAACCTCTCAGTTCACTGATGGGAGCCTGTGGCAGAAGAAGGACGACATCACAAACCAGCACAGACCTGGTAAGCCCCCCAAGTTGGCTGAAAGATACATAGCTTTTGAGAGGCAGTTACTGGCCTGTTGGCCCTTGGTGGACGAGTGTGGTAGTAGACACACGAGCAGATATTCTAATCATGTTGCTGAAGAACGATAGCTTTGGAATCTCATGAACTAGGAACGGCACCTCCAGGAGCTCAGCTGGAGTCTCACAATTCAGTGAAAAGGTCTCTCGAGTGTCCCTCCACCTCCCAGGAGTAATACCCAAGGAGCCACTGCCTCCTCTGGCCCAGGGGGGACCCAGACATAGAGACCTCCCATGCCACCTGTGGGCCTGGTTCACTGATGGCTCCTCCTGGGACGGAACTGGGTGCAGCCCACTTCCAACCTGAAAGAGACCTGTCCTTCCCAAGTGTGGAAAAGGACCTTTGCACAATGGGCAGCTTCATGCAGTGTGGAAGACAGATCTGTCCTGCTGTTCCCCCCCCTGCTCCTTGCTCCAGCCCTCGCACATAGGCCCTGCTGTGTGTTCACCCACTCGCTGGGCTCTGGCAAATGGCTCGGCCATTGGTTGTGTGGCATATAAAGCAGACCCCCTGTGAGGATGGGACATTGGGATGACGATTGGTTCTGCCCCTACTAAGTGTTTTGTTCCCTCCGTGGTTGCTTACCAGGAAGGGCCCTGTGCTGACAAAGGGAAATGACCAATGAGCATCCCGTGCTTGTCAGCTGAACACAGGAACTGAATCGCTCTCCACCCCAGAGCAAGCAGATGTGCAGCTAATTGCCTCCTCCTGGACCCACAAGAGGATGGCCCTTGGAAATTCAGACACCGTTATAGGTTGAGCTGGCATGCACAGACTGCCACTGCTGTGGGAAGACTGAACCAGCATGAAAAAGCCGTCCCGCTTGTCAGACCCTGGTCAAGGCTAAACATAACTACCCAGGAACACATTACTTCACGTTGGGCCAGGGCGTTCTCAGCAGATAGAACACGTTAGGCACCTCATCCCACCCGTAGTATCCCCCGGATCCTGACTGCAGCTGACACTTCGTCTAGCCATCCCCACGCATTCCACTGACTCGGGCCACACTCTCAGGCCCTATAGGATGACATTTGTTTCCTATTCAGGTTCCCTGAGAGCACTGTATCTGGTAACAGCCCTGGATTTGCAGTCCAAGCTACACATCAGTGAGCTCAGTCATGGGGCGTACAGTGGACTCTCCGTATCACCCCTAATCCATAGGGGTGTTGAGCATTTTAATGAACAGTTAAAGAACAGGTTTAATCAGCGGATGGGAGGGGACAAGATTACCACGGCCTGGATTACACAGCTCAGGCAAGCGGCCTGGGGGCTAAAGGCAGCAGTTCCCCAGTCCGGTACTTCTCATTAACCCTGCATGTGCGAACACGCTGTCTGCCCCTTCCTTTAATCGTATGCCCTTCTACAATTACGACACTTTCCACTCCATGTGGGGCCCTGTAAGGGACTTCTGTACCCTTCGACTCCTTCCCAACGACTCAAATTGGTGGGAGAGGAGGATGGCTGTTAAACATCAAGGAGCGGGGGACGGCAGACTCCAACATTGGCCGCTGCGTGCAGAGCATGGGGTTTTGTCTACAAAGACCTCAAGAATAATGACCATCAATTAGAGGGCTCTGGTTCAACAACTTGCTTAAGGTGGCCGTGACACTTTCCTGGGTAGCCCCACGAGATGAATATAAAATAGAATTTTTTACTATAAACCACAAGGGGAGCCAAACCAAAATATTTGAGGGATTGATTAAGGGTGCTGTCCTTGTCCATGGTACACAACAGACTGTGTTGCAGTTGTGTAGATGTGAACACCTTTGGACCTAACAGCTATGATATGGGGATATGTTCTCTTTGTCTTATCTATAGGGTTAAGAATCTTATTAAAATATCCCCACAGAGAACTTCTGTCACTCATCTAGTACAAATTGAATATAGATCACTGAGCAAGGCACTAGGAGATGAAACAAATACACTCCTCGCTTAGTGTATCTATGGTTGGATAATATGTAAGTAACTACAACGTGTGGAAATTGATGAAAATCATAAAGAGGGTAAAGATGATATGGAGAGATCGTTTTTAGCTCTGAGGAATTTAGGAAGGCATTACGGAGTTAGCAGTGCTTTTGGCTGGATAGGATTTGAATATGAAAGAATGTAGGAAGTCAAACATTGTGAATTTAGCTGTGGTAAGTACCATAGTCTGATTGGAAATCATACTCATGTTTGAGTATGATTATATACTCAAATATATAATCATATATATTTGATTGGGTGCTTATATTTGAGTGGGAAGAGAAGTTGGAGCCAGAGTAGTGTAGCAATTTGTACTTTTTTTGTAGGTGGTGGGAAGGGACCTAGAAAATGTCAAATAAGAGTAACATGATCAGAACTGTGTTTTAGGAAAATTCTTTGTAGAGTATTGTGTCAGGGCTCCCCAAAGCACCCCCAGCTTCACTGATTGACCAGGAACACTCAGAGGACTGAGCCTGTCGTGGAAGTCAGAGCCGTGATTTGTTACAGTGAGAGAACACAAAGGAAAATCAGCAAAGGGAAAGGGCGCGTGGGGCGAATTCCAGGGAAAACCAGGAACAAGTTCCCAAGAGTCCTCTCAGTAGAGTCATACAGCACGTGCTTAATTTCTTCATTAGGAGTTGCAACCACAAGTGGGAAATGCTACCTACCAAGGAACCTCATTAGAGACTCTGCCCAGGAATTTTTATTGGGGATTGGCCATGCAAGCACCCCTCTGCCTAGCCATTACCAAAATTCCAGACTTCCTGAAGGAAAGTAGCTGTTCATCACAAAACCACATTGTACAGCGGGAGACCAGTGAACCACCCTTCCCAGATGCCACCCAGGAACCAGTCCTGCAAGCAGACCTTTCTAAGGCTAACCCCTCAGGCCTGCTCTGTAATGCACAGGTATAAGTGGAGTGTAGAGGGGCTACAAGCTAAAGCATTTGTCTGTCTGTGTTTCTACAAAGTCCCACTTTAATTTTTTTTTTGACTCTTTACTCCTTATTATCATTTCTCTACTTTTATTAAGATGTTTAATGGATAAGATCTAGAGGTCTCTCAGTAAAAATAAAAATTTTTTGAAAGAATTTGTTCTATGCTCCTATATTTATCAATTTATTATCTTTACCTGTACTATTCAGTTGTAAAGTGGAAACCTACAATCAAAGATTTGTTTTCTTGTTTTTGTTTTTTAGATTTAAAGAAAATCGAAAAGATGACATTTGGCTTGTAGATGTGAGTATGTAAACTTTTTGTACTAAGTAACCGCCCCTACCATTTTAAGTGTTATTTTGCATTCTCTTCACCCCAATATGTAATAGACAGTACTAATGTATATTACCCACTTTGTTTGCTCAGGTAGTACCATTTGGGTTTTTATATTTAAGTGAACCTCAAAGCCTTAGGATTCCTGGCAGGGGAATGATGAAATTCAATGAGGTCCACTTGTGGATTATGTCTGAGGGAGATTATGGTATGATTTTATTACAGAATTCACTCTTTATTTTTTCATATTAACCAAGAGATTGAGTATATTAATATCACTTGGCAGTCAAAATCATATTTTCATCTTAGTAGTGAACAAAATCAGATTTTCATCTTCCTTTCCTCACTTGGACGCTTTGAATGTATTTAAACCTTATGATGTTTGGGATTCATTTTGACATGCCTCAGTGAAAAAGTAGAGTGGCAGCAAAAGAGATGGAATGAGAATGGCAGAGCTGACAGTTATTGAAGCCAGGCAATGAGGCGTGAAGGTCCCTTGTTTAATTCTGTCTGTTTTCCTTTTGTATATGTTTGAACATTTCCATAGTGTAATATTAAAAGAGAGAGAAATCTTGTTTCATAAAAGTACAACAAGCAGTTTGTTACACTATTTCACTGGAGGAACCTAACTACCACCCCAGCCATCTGGTGATTCTGAAGCAGAAAGAACTAGGGTTTTAGTTTCATCAGACTGACTTGTCACTGTACCAAACCAGTCATCCTGATGATTCCCCACGTCTTACCAGTGGTTACGCTTAGAACAGCAGAGGCACCTACTGTGTTGGAATTTTTGTAATAGAAATAAATTTTATCATTAACACTTAAGGGGTGTGCATGTGATATATGAAGTGTATTTGGTGGTTTAATTTTATATATAACATGGACATACCTGGGAGCAAAGATGCTTTACTGTAAATCATCTACTTTAAATAGATATCAGTAGTCATTTAAACTTAAAGTAGGATCAGTGTTGAGGTATATCCTAGGAGATGACCTGTCTAGTTTGTGTATATGTGTGTTCTTTTATTTTGAAACCACTTTAAAAATTATATTTAGACTTTTTGTCTAAAATAGATTATTATCCAATCATTTAGTCAAAAAGATTCTTTTAAAATTAAGATTGATACCCAAAGTAGCACAGTATCTTAGTGGTTTTCTCTCTCTCTTTTTTTTTCAAACAAGTTTTATGCACCATGGTGTGGCCATTGTAAAAAACTGGAACCAATTTGGAATGAAGTTGGTCTAGAGATGAAAAGCATTGGTTCTCCAGTTAAAGTTGGAAAGATGGACGCTACTTCCTATTCCAGTAAGCATCTACTCAGTTTATCATTCTACTGTTCTGGTAATGAAAGTGTTTTAATTACATGAAGCAGTATTCAAGGTAAGAGGAAGAAATATATATATATATTTTTTAGCTCATGTAAAATTAAAATTATCTTAGAGATTTCAGACTATATTTTATGAGTTAGATGAATTAACCATTGAATATGTAATATGCAGTCTATGTTGATCTTATACCCAATATAGATGTATGAGCCATTTTCCTATTTTGAGCCCACTTGAGATAATCAGTTGCCTGAGACAGCCACAGAAATTTCAGTGTTGAACTCTTGACATTGCTGCATGGCTTAAGAGTGAGAGTTTGCTGTCTGAGTAGCCTGAATGGCATCATAGAGGAGTAACGGGAACTCGAAGGACAAGATGAGTTAGGATAAATACAAGTGAGGATTGGGAAAGTGTTCACATTAGAGAGAATATCAAACCAAAATCATAGAGGTGAAAAAGAGTTTAGTGAGTCTGTACCAGAGACTAGAATGTCTTCGAGCAGAAACTGGCAAACCACATCGCTGGACAGTCTGGCCTCCGCCTGCTTTGTACATACAGCTCGACTGGAACAAGTCACTCTCCTTTGTTTACCCTTATTCATGGCTGTTTTCATGTCCCAGAGGCAGATTCAAGTAGTTACAGCAGAGACTGTAGGCCCCACGAAGCCTAAAATATTTATTATCAGACCCTGTACAGATAAAGTTTACCAACACCTGTCTTAAAGGATTTGGGAAAACGCAAAATTAAGTTTAGAGAAGTATGAGGTATCACACAGATTTGGGAAGAGCATGGCTTCAGAAAGTAGATCAAATACGGCTCTGCCTACTACTTTTGCCCTGTAGCATGGGGAAAGTTTCTTAACGTCTCTAAACTTTGATTTCTACACGGGTAAATATTTAATTATAATGAATTTTTTATTGGTTGTTTTGAGATTAGAGTGAGGTAGCACATGTACAGTCCCTTGTAGTATGCAATAAATGTAGGTTCCCTTTTCCTTTAATTAATGAAGAAAGTGGAAGTATGAAATGCAAAATGCATATTTCATTTTAGGAAATCAGCATTGTACTCTGGATATAAGTTTGGAACAAGACAGACGTATGTTTTAAGCCCAAGTCTATCATCTCTTACTTTTGTGGCTTTGGGGAAGTGCTTAACCTCTCTTAATTTTAGTTTCCCTGTCTAAATGAGAGAGTGATAATTCTCAAGGTTGTGAGGGCTGTATTAATATTTCTTATCAAAACCCCTAGCACAATGGCTAGTACTTACAAGGTGCTAAGGGATAATACCAGATTTTAAGAGCCTCTCAGGTGGGATAAAGTGTTTTGGATTTTATCACTTGTCAATTGAGAGGTAATACACATTTTTGAGAAGGCATATGATTTGATAAAAATGTTTTTGAAAGAAGAACAGATGAAAAGAAGAACATTTAGAGACAAACAGATCATCTAAGTGGACTTTTGTATGCATCTTGGTATAGGGTGCTGGGAGGGCAGACTTGGGTGGTTGGCAGGGCAATAAAAAGGAAACAGTAATTCTTATAGACATTTGCAAGGGTTAAATCACGGATGTGCTAGATTGGCTCTGGTATAAAGAAAAACAATTGAAAATAGTGTAAGATTCCTAGCACAATTCACATTGAACTACATTACCACTGGTTAAATGGAAAAGAATAATACATTTAATTTTGTGTGTGTTTTCATGTTAGCAGCTGTTTTGAATTTGTGGTATTTTGCTTTATTGATGTTTGGGAATATGGGGAACTAGAGTGCAGGTGAGATGTTAGAACTGGAATTACTGAGTCACACAAGTGAACTGCTGCGACTTTGAGAGGGGATGAGATCTATGGCAGGAAGTTATCTTAGAAAGAGAAAGATAAGATAATATTCTTGAGTTGGTATTTCTTGAAATAAAGCTTTTACAGTGTTTAAGAAATTATTCCTTTTAACTGTTGTGAAAGTAAATTTTTGTGTCTAGGCATATATGTTGATTAGACATACATACACATACATTCGTCTATACAGTCATTCATTTATTTCAGTCAGTCAAAGGATAACTAATAAACATAAATAAATTGTCTGGTGTTTAGTGTTTGATGTCAGTGATGGATGAATTTTTTTTTTTTTTTTTTTGCGGTATGCGGGCCTCTCACTGTTGTGGCCTCTCCCGTTGCGGAGCACAGGCTCCGGACGCGCAGGCTCAGCAGCCATGGCTCACGGGCCCAGCCGCTCCACGGCATGTGGGATCTTCTGGGACTGGGGCACGAACCCGTGTCCCCTGCATCGGCAGGCGGACGATGGATGAATTTTTCATTCTGTTATAGAATCAAGAAGATGTTTTATGTGCTATGGAGAAAAGAAATATCATCTTCCTAAAAAATGTAGTTAAGTATTCAAAAACTACCGTCTAGAGATTACAAATAGATTTTTGGCATATAATTCTTAAAGTTTTCTTAAATATTTCAAGGCAGCTCAAATACAGGCATTTCAGTAGAACTTGGAATCAAATAGGTGAAGAAATTGAATTTCTTTTTTCAGGCTAGCTGTTGGTAGTATTCTGCATCTAACTATAGAGCACTAAAGGATTGGTTGTTTTGTACATGTTTCTTCCATCCCCGTAGGTTGCTTTTCAGACGGTATAGCATCGGTGTTTCCCAGGGTTTATTCTGCAGGCTGCCTGCATTAGGATTACCTGGGGTGCTCAGTATAAATTCAGATTTCAAAGGCCCACACCAACCCTACCAAATGAAAATCAGATTGAGTCATAAGAATCTGTATTTTTAACATGGACTTCAGGTGATTCTGCTGCACACTCAAGTTAGAGAATCACAGAGTAAAGTATTATTTTGATGGATAGTTATTTATAGGATCTCAGTTTAGGGTGGGATAGGATTATTCCGTGATTAAGTGTAGAAAATCTCTTAGACTGTTTGGTGGTAGCTTATTTTTCAATCATGTAATTGCAGTGATTGAAATAAATGCCATCACACTCAGTCCAACAAATCTCTGTGTATAGAAGTTTTGAACAGGAGGGATTTGAACTTTCATGATTTACCCTGCCCTGTGTGTATCAAAAATTTCTTGATGCATGGTTTTAATTAATAATATATCAAATAACATTAAAAAGTTGTATAATGTCCAGTGTAAATTCACATATTATTTTAGCCTTTCTTTTTTCTACATATTCCTTCAAAAATGAGCACAAAAATTGTTTCTCATTCACCACTTAAAATGTTATGATGTTACCTGTAGTCACGTACTGATTTCTATTATGAAACCACTGAAATTCCATTTATTCCTCAACCTAAGTGTGACATCATTTTATAGTAAAGATCATATTTTACCCCCCTTTCATGTATAAACTTTCAAGGGCATCTGGCCAATAACATTCTGATTCTGATTCTTAGATCTCAGATATATTTGTAGATCAGTCTTACCTTTCTATATTATAAGCCCTTTTAGTCAGTGACTATATTTCAGGGTTGCTCAAACTTGGTACTGTTGACATTTTGGGCCAGATAATTCTTTGTTCTGGGTGGGAGAAGAGTTTTCCTATGCGTTGTAGGATGTTTAGCAGCATTCTTGGCCTCTACCAACTAGATGCCAGTAGCTCCCTTCTCTCCCCACCCCCTAAGTTGTGGCAACCAGAAATGTCTCCAGACATTGAGGGCAAAATCATCCCCAGTTGAGAACCTCTGCATTATTTTATTCCTTTCCCATTTTAGACACATAGTGACACTCAGTAAACACTAAGAAGAATAGTATTTTTGAGCTGAAAAGGATTTCAGGTTGAGTTCAACTCCTCACTTTTTCCCTCCTTTCATTGTGTAGATGAAGTAACAGAAGGTAATTAGCAGTGAACTGACTTTACTAATTTCGGACATCAAAGTCAGCAACAGAATTAGGCCCAGAATCCAAGATCACCATGATTCAAAATCAGGCCTATCTTAACCATCAAGTTGTTATCATTTCAAGGAGAAAACAAATGAAATAGGGAGCTTTATGCTTAACCTTATTTTCTGAACATTTAAAATTACAAAATTTCCGGGGAAGTTATTCACGTTGCAGATGGATTCTTCAGTTTGTAATGGAATTGATCTCAGGTTTCTATATAAACCATTGTTCTTTGACAGGAAAAAATAAAGAACAAAAGATTTAAACTCAGACTTGAGTTTCAGCATGGGTCCTGCTGCCTAATCAATGCTTGCTTTCTAACAAGTTAACAAGTCTTCCGAAGTATTAGCTTATCTGAAAGATAACATTAGCATCTGTCACCCCACCTCACAAAATTGTTTTGAGGGGTAGTTGAAGGCATATTAATGCCAATTATAAGATATCTACACATGCTAATTCTTATTAATATTTTTTGCACATTAGTGTGTCAACAGGTAATTACTTAACAGTGAGGTCAGGACCAAGAATAGAAGAAACTGGACTCAGCATTTGAGCATCTGTATGTGCTGAACTCTCTGTTAGATTCTTTTCCACACTTCCTTATTTTAAATACCACACATAGCCCTACAAGATGAGTGGTATCCCCAGAAGCGGAAACAGAATCTAAAGTGAAGGAGCTTACGCTGAGCTGCATGGACAATAAATGGAGAGGTTGGAACCCTAACCTGGGTCATTATGTGCCTGTAACTCATGCCTTGCTGTGTGCCTCTTTAATTATACAATCATTTACATTTAGGAAAACCTACCTTTGAAGTTTTAGCCGTCATTGTCAGTTGAAGTTCTGTCAGAGATGAAAGTAATGTTCAAAGAACCAAAGGGCTAAAGGGTGGGTGGTATCATCTCCATCTTATAGGTAAGAAAACTGAGGTCAAGGAAATTAAGTGATGGGCTTACGTGTGGAGCTGGGATTTTCTCTCTGAAGCTTATCATGAGAACCATAATGTCAGCTATAAAATACCACCACTGTATTTTCTCATTGATTGCATATTTCATTTTTTAAATTTGATTTGTATACAAATAAATTTTACACTAAATTATGTAAGCAATTGCTACTGGGCTGCACCGCCCCCTCCAGTCAATTTTATTAGTCTTTATATTTTGGCAGTTTTTAATGAGGTTTAGTTGAAAGTAATAATGGCTTATATTTACCTGCCTTCTTAATTTGGGATGGGGAGCATTAAGAACATACATTACTGGGCTTCCCTGGTGGCACAGTGGTTGAGCGTCCTCCTGCCGATGCAGGGGACACGGGTTCGTGCCCCGGTCCGGGAAGAATCCTGCATGCTGTGGAGCGGCTGGGCCCATGAGCCATGGCCACTGAGCCTGCACGTCCGGAGCCTGTGCTCCGCAACGGAAGAGGCCACAACAGTGAGAGGCCCGCGTACCGCAAAAAAAAAAAAAAAAAGAACATACATTACACACATAATCTGTGTTTTTTCTTGGAAGAGGGCAATCTCAATAACAGCATTATTCAATTAGAATATGCTTGACCTGAAAATACTTGCAAATGATGTAACCAATAAGGGTTTAATACCAAAATATATAAACAGCTTATACAACTCAATATAAAAAAAAAACCTGGTTAAAAATTGGGCAGAAGACCTAAATAGACATTTCTCCAAAGGAGACATACAGATGGCTAACAGGCACATGAAAAGATGCTTAACGTCGCTAATTATTAGAGAAATGCAAATCAAAACTACAATGGGATATCACCTCTTACTTCTCAGAATGGCCATCATCAAAAAGTCTACAAATAACAAATGTTGGTGAGGATGTGGAGAAAACAGTTGTATACAGTTGGTGGGAATTAAATTGATGCAGCCACTATGGAAGACAGTATGGAGGTTCCTTAAAAAACTAAAAGCAGAGCTACCATATGATCCAGCAATCCCACTCCTGGGTATATATCTGGAAAAAATGAAAACTCTAATTTGAAAAAATACATGCACTCCAGTGTTCACAGGAGCACTATTTATAATACCCAAGACATGGAAACAACCCAAGGGCCAACAGACGATTGGCTTAAGAACATGTGGTATATATATACAACGGAATATTACTCAGCCATAAAAAGAATGAAACTCTGCCATCTGTAACAATGTGGATGGACCTAAAAAGTATTATGCTTAGTGAAATAAGTCAGACTGAGAAAAATAAATACTTTATGTTATCACTTATTTGTGGAATCTGAAAAATAAAACGAATGTGTATAACAGTACTGAAACGGACTCACAGATAATAGAAAACAAACTAGTGGATACCCGTAGGGAGAGGGAAGCAAGGAGGGGCAAGATAAGAATGTGGGATTAAGAGCTACCAACTAGTATATATAAAATAAATAAGCACCAAGGATATATTGTACAGCACAGGGAAATACAGCCATAATAACTGTAGATGAAGTATAATCTATAAAAATATTGTCACTATGCTGTACACCTGAAACTAATATAATATTGTAAATCAACTATACTTCAATAAAATATGTGTGTGTGTATGTATGTGTGTGTGTGTGTGTGTGTGTGTGTATTGTGTATATATATAGACTTGACAGAGTAAGTCCTAAATTAGAGATAGGCACAAATAAATTATGTAATTGGTCTAAGTTCACATGACTATTCAGAGGCAGAACCTGTATCTTCATATATATATATATACCAAGTTCCTATTTTTGTTACCTCTGTTGTTTGTGTTGCCTCTAATAAAAACCATTGTTGATCACTGTCTGGAACCTTCTGGTCACCTCTCTCCATGCATTTAAGGGAGAAGCTCTAGAGTTGACAAGGGAAGGAGGAGAGATTTTCGATATTATTTGCCACTAATTCACTTTGCCTTTATTCTTGTGTATTGATGGGGAGTGATGAGAAACCAAAATTAATGATTACTAAAGTGATGAGTAAATCAGAACTCACATATAGAGGTAGTTTTCTTATACCCAGCTATCATAAGAATATATTCTGGAAATAAAAGGAGAGATCATGTGAGTAAATACAGTATACTTTGCATATAGTAGTGTAAGTATATTGTATTTTGTCTACTAACTGAGAATATTTTATTTCTTCTTTCTGTCCTAATTGCCTTGAATCTGTAAAGTAGTATAGTATTAATTTCCCATATTGATTATTATACCTCTTAAAGTCCAAATTCTCTGTTGTTTGCTTGTTTTCATTACTATTCTCCTTTCCCTCAAAAAGATGCCACTGTAGTGTGTGTCTCATTTTAATTAACGTGTGATTTCAGAATAATCTTTGAAATAACTGGAATTACTCTAGGTTATTACAGAAGCAGAAACTTTTAAAACAAGTAGATAAAATTGCTTTTAGATCATATTAAATTAATTTTGCAACTATGATTTATGTTTTTAACATTAAAATACAAAGCATTTCTTTTAAGACTCAGAAAACACTAAAGGAAGAGACGGGCCTTTTTTGAAGAAATATTTGTCCTGGAAATGAACTCAAATGAGGAGTGAGACTTTATTTATATATGTGTGTGTGTATATATATACTATTTTTTTAAAACAAGAATATCTTTTAAAGTAAATACTTTAGAGATAAAAATTTACTCTTTTGGCATTTTTCTTTATTTTGTTATAGTATTTTTGTGCAGGTCATAAGTTGGATTATTAAGTAATTATTTTGTATGAGAATGTCATGTTTTTTCTTTTTTGTATGTGTTTATATTCTTTTATAAGAATTGAAAACAGCATATCTATGGGTTTGTATAAATATATATTTTTTTAAGTAAAAGGCTCATTTATTACCTAGTTTCTCATTTAAAAAAAATTTAGAATTATTTATTCTTTTTCTTGTCAAGGCATTGCTTCAGAGTTTGGAGTTCGAGGTTATCCAACAATTAAGCTGTAAGTTGAGTGTTGTATGTTTATATGTGTATTTTTATTAGTTCACTCTACTTACATTTTATTACATTAATTTCTAGTAGCTTCCTTGGAGGACTGAAGATTTGGGTTCCACAGTTCTTTCTAGGTGCAGTGTGTGATCCAGGGAGAGGGACTTCATCCGTGCTTTTCTTTGCACTTAAGTTAATGTGTGGTTTATGGCTAATTCACCAAATGTGTTTTGAGTTTACTGTGACAGGTGCTGAGCAGGACAAGATATACAGTTGTAAATTAGGAAAGCTCTACCCCTGAGGAGCTCAAGGGTATATTCTGTTTAACTTGTGAATCCTGTCTCTTAACAAATTTTACTTTTCTATGATTGAAATAGACTTATTTCATTAGACATGAAAGAAAAGAGAATCAAACTGATGGATGTTAATTCTCATCTGTAGATGTTGATCACGTCTAAGACAGAGCATATATGGTAGAAGAAATATTGTGATAATTCTAAAGGACTTGTGTTTTATAATCATAATGTTATTGAATTTTCTCATGAGTTTAATCCTGATCTCATCCTTATTTCAATAATGTGGAGAGTTGAGGAATTATTTTGAAACTTATTTTTATTATAAAGTAAGTTATTTTAGTATTTTAAAATCTCAGATTTTAAAATTTGACTAATTTTAATTTTTTTATTTCTTGGATTTTGTGTTGGCCTCCCTTTCTTCCCCCACTGTTTAAAAATGTTTGCTAAGGGAATTCCCTGGCAGTCCAGTGGTTGGGACTCTTTGCTTTCACTGCTGAGGGCACAGGTTCAGTCCCCGGTCAGGGAACTAAGATCCCACAGGCCACACGGCGTGGCCAAAAAAATAAATAATATAAAATAAAATTAAAAAAACACACGCACACACACAAAATACTTCCAGGGCAGAACCTTTAAAAAAAAAAAGTTTGTAAGCCTCTTTGACTTTCTTGTGTTCAGTAAATTATCTTTTCTATCCTTTCCGTTTAATTATAGATGTTGTACTGTGCTTTCACAATTTTTTTTTTTAAATTTCAGTTAGTTGGACACAATTCATTGGCAGGCTTTTGGAAAATTATCTAATTTTCTAGAAGAGGTATTTTTATGCATTGTTTTACTCTTTAATCTTGGAACATCTGTCATGTTACTCTGATGTTGTATTGCTTAAAATTGGTTTTACCTTTACCAAAATAGTTTTAATTCCCTGTCCTTTCACGTACTTTTTAATAGAGAAGATAGTGAGAATTAAGCTTTGATGAGTTCTTGACTGTGAATGTATATATTTTTCATTTATCAGAAGGCATAGACACAATGCAGTTATCAAATACAGAGTAAAATATTTTCGTGTAATTTTAATAAAATACAGCCTTTTTCTTTGCATTTTGGTTGTTGGTTCCCTGAAGCCAGTTATTGGCTGTTTTTTACATGATTATGCTACTTCTAAAACTCCACTGCATTTACTATTTTATATGCTGTAATTTGTGTTACAATAGAGAGTGATTATCATTAAATGTGAAAACAGTTGAAATAACCTAAACTTTTACCCTATTTTCTTTTTTTAAGATTAAAAGGGGACCTGGCGTATAATTACAGAGGACCACGAACTAAAGATGATATAATTGAGTTTGCTCACAGAGTGTCTGGGTAAGTTCGTATTATGAAGGGCCTTTACTATATAATATTAGTATTTGCAAGTTAAATGTATTTGAGTAGCCATATCGAACATACATATTTTTAGGTGATTAGCCTAAATAAAATTTGTCTGTTTATTTATAAAGGAAAGCTAGGGTTGCGTAGCATATGCAAAGAGCTCCTCGAGAGGAATAAAAGGGTCCATGATCTTATGTACTTGTTAGCCTCACATTTAAATTCACTTTGTCTATAGAAGAATATTTTCCCCAATGGATTTTTAATACATTTTCAAAACTTGATTACTTCTAACAACTTTGTGAATCTTAATTTTTTTATTATAATTTTGCCTTTGTACTGCCTGGTTTACATTCATTTATTTTTCTTGTTATCGAATTTCAGTTTTAAGAGAAACCCCACAGTATTACATTCTAAATAAACTTGGGCTTTAATCCCTAGCCTTTAATACCAGAAAATACTTTTTAGATGCAGCTAAAATAATTTCCCTCATCTTTCACATGCTGCTTTATGCCAACTGTGAGGTATTATTGCACATTTCGCTTAGAAGGTAATATAATTAGAACCCAGAGATCTTTTTGAGTTACAGATCGCTGAAGTTTTACTGCTGAGGAATCAGAAATTCTTCTGTGTTTCCTTCTGGTTTGAATGTGGTGATTTTTTTTTTTTTTACTCTACATCTTGCTGGTGTATAAAGAAAGTTGGTGCGTATAATTATTTAATGTGATTATGTGTAACTTCTGGAAGAGGACATTTATCAAAATAGGTTAACCTACTTTGACTTTGGAAGTATGGTTGCTTATGAGTTTGACAGGATGTATTATATTGATAGCTTTAAATAATTTTATGATAAATTAACATATTGGAATGGATTTGTTGGGTGGCATGATACTATCTAGCTTAAATTATTTGAGAAAAGGCACAGAATTAGGAATGGTCTTTGTATAGTAAAGTTTGCAAAGCTTTAGTGAAGTATAATTTTCACTGTATTTTCTTGTTGATTGCATATTTCATTTTCTTTATTTGTTTTGTGAGTAAATAAATTTTGAGATAACTTTATATTACATGAGGGGGTCGCCAGTAGGATTATTTTATTCCCCTGTAGTTTAAATTAGTCTTTATGTTTTGGCAATTTTTAATGAGTTTTAGTTTAAGCTTAAGATGGCCTTCTGATGTAACTGGGAGTGACTCTACTGCAAAGGGAATTTCAAGAGTCAGTTCTGGAGTTGCATCACTTACTAGTTAATTACTAAAGTATTAAAATAGAGGCTAGAATATAGTGATGCAGTGCATTTAAAGAATTGTGTGTTTCGAAAATGTTTGCCTTTGCAGAATACATTTTGTTCTTTTTTGCAAATGTGATGGAGTAAAAATCTAATAATATAGATCACACTAAAAAAAGACTGCCTCTTAGCTTTTAATAGTATTTCATAAGTGATATGTTTTATAATCTTTGGTATAATTCATTTCTCAGCCTATTTGGCTTTGAAAATGACTGTATAATAAAACTTTTTGTAGTTTTGTTTTCTCTTCATGAGATTCTTATATGCTATTATAACTACCATTTTCCATTGTATTTTTCCTGAGAAGAATAACATACTTAGGAAACATTTTAGATTTTAACCTTTATAGTGTGTTTTGAAACTAGCATTTAAATGGTCAGAGTAAGACATAAATATTCTAAACATAATATTATAAACTCCTGGAATAGTATTTCACAGTGTGTTTGTGTGAATGATCTTTCGAAAGGGAGAAAAAAAATAATTCTCACGCGGATTGTTTTGTTTTTAGCTGAGAATTCTAAATGGATTATAGTTCCATCTTTGCCTATCAAAACATTGGTTAAGATGATACTCTCTAAAGGGATGTATTTAAAGCTTATTTTTTAAACTGGTAGATTAAATTGTAGGTACTATATTTTTATTATATGGGTATAATAGTGGTCATGGGCCATAGTGTATTAGATTTATGTAGATTGAGTGATATACTTAAAATGCAATTCGTACAATATTAAAGCTTTGTAACTTTAGATAGGATGACATATAAATAGGAGTAAATTATGTACTACCCTTAGTTCAAGTGCAAGTTTTTTTGTTTTATTTTCAAACAGGGCTCTAATTCGGCCACTTCCAAGTCAGCAAATGTTTGAACATGTGCAGAAGAGGCATCGTGTATTTTTTGTTTATATAGGTGGAGAGTCACCTCTGAAGGTATCAAATGATTTTATTCTTTAATCCACAAGCACAGATATATTGTAATTTAATTTTCTGTATAACGAGGGCTTCACCAAAAACTCAGGCCTTATTTCACTCTTATTAGAAATACTTTAGTTGAATCTAAGTATTTTTATAATAAAAACACTTCATCATATACCCTCTATAGTATTTGCCTTCATGAAACAGAATTGAGTAAAAAGTGGGTGGGTGTTGCCTGTGTTAGTATATTTCTTCTGTTGACCTGGTTATTTAGATTTTGTATTGCTTTTTAGCATTTTGAGTCTTTGAAACTGCAACATGCAGTTTGAGTGTAAACTTTTTAAAAGCAAAAGCTCATTGTCTTAAGATTATTGCATGTATGTATGTTTGTGTTTGCATGTCAGACACACACATCTCTTCCTATAATCATCATTAAATTAAATTAATAAATATGAATTGAGCTTGTTATATTTAATGAAATTTATTTGAAGGCATATACAAGCACTTAGTTACAATGGTCTTTTGCCTTAGAAACAGTTTATTTCATTTCCTTATATTTAATCTTTTCACATGAAAAGACTTAAGGTAGCTAATTGTGATGATACTACTTAGCAGTGATACTACTTGCTCTGAATGTTTAATGAGGAATGAATTTTGATCTTGATTAATATTTAAAAGTCACCTTTTTTCTGTTTGTATCTTCACAGGAGAAATACATCGATGCTGCTTCAGAATTAATTGTATATACATACTTTTTTTCTGCCTCAGAAGAAGTTGTCCCTGAGGTAATTTTTAAAGTTGGATTTTAAGTAGTGTATTAATTACTATATATATTAAACAACTGTTTGTTGTCCTTTAATTGTGTGCCATGCACAGTTTTAAGTCCTGGATTATTGATGGCAAGCAAAATCATCAGGACCCTGATAGGATGGAGTTTACGTTCTCATGGGTGGGGGAAGTGGACTGAGTTTTAGTATTGTAGATAAGAGCCTTCCCTTGGGTCCTCAGACTGAGATAGTGGTCCTCGGTAAACAAAGCTATAAACAGGATATCATAACTGCTCTAAAAAATAATAAAGAAGCAGTGTGATAGTAAGGACATTTAGAGGTGGGATGGCTACTCTTGTTTGATTGATCAAGAAATGTCTGTCTGAGGAGAAAATACATCTGAACTGGGACTTACGGGATGTGAAGGAGCCACGCACAGATCTGTGGCCATAGTAAACCAGACACAAGGAACAGACATTACAGATGGTCAAGATGAGAACCTGCCTGGCATAGTGGAGTAACAGAGCCATAGCCAGTGTGGCTGAACTGCAGTGAGAAAGGAGATGGGAGGTAGGCAGAGGCCAGTGGAGGCCTTCTAGGTCAGGGCCACGCATGTGAGGATTTGGTATCAAGTTCATTTTAAGGACATTACTCTGTGCTAAGTGCAGACACAATTGGATCAGGATGAGACTAGATCAGGAAGCTCAGTTGAACTCTTGAAGAAATCTAGGATTTAGGCTTGAAAGTTATTAAGAGAATTAGGAAGAAGTGAAAGAATTGTATTTGGAGATAGAATTTTTTGAGCTTGTTCTAGAGGAAAAGAGGTGCATCAAGGATGATTCTTAGGTTTTTGGCCTGAACAACTGGTTAGATGGTGGTGTTATTTATGAGCTGGGGAACACTGGGGAAGGAACAAGTTGGAGTATGGGAGGAGAGATGGTATTTTGAAGGTTTATTTTACTTTAAGTTGACATATTAGGCATCCAAGTACAAGCATCAGATAAGGGTTTGGAGATAAGTCACGGCTGCATAAATGAAATAAACTTCTTAGACATGGGATGCAAATCTGGGGGGAGATAAGAGGGTCCAGGTCCTAACAGCAAAGGACAATGAGAAGAGATTGCTAGTAAAGTAGGAAAACAAGGTGAATGGGAAGCCAAGATAAAAAGTGTTTAAGAAAGGAGTGGCCAATTGTGCAAGATGCCGTGAAGCAACCAAGGTGAGGAGAGGAAAGAACCATGGTGTTTGTCCCCATAGAGGTTGTTGGTGATTTTAAGAGAAACAGTTTCAGAGGAGTAATGGGGACAAGTGACTCACTGGTGTGATATCAGAGACTGGCTCACTCAGGGATACCCTTGAAAGGGAGAGATGCTGAATGCTGTGAAATATCCCAGGGTACCTGTGTGGATGAGTTGCCAACCATGGGTGAATAGAGGCATGCTGGATGGTAGAGCCTCACCTGAGAGCTTTACCACTGCCCTTACAATAGTTATTTTCATGGTGCTGTGATGTAACCAGATCATGCTAGATCACCTGTGACATACCTTCCTCCCTTTTTAACCTTTCCAGGATAGCTGTCCTTATTTTAATTTTATTATTACTTTTACTTTATTAGTTATCTACTGATTTATTTGTTGTTATGCTCAGTATTGCCACACTCATGTAGTAATTCTGTGTGGCTTACCTAAATTATATCTTTTCTGCTCTGATACTGATTTCTCTACTGTAATTTTATTATTTTGAAATAAGTACAACACAGGTATAAGAAGCAGGTACCCACTGAATGGATTCCTTATTATTAATGGCCATTGTAAGTTCCCATTCATAAAGCAGTTTATCGTTTAAGCCTGCTCTCACCTCTCAACGTGTGTTAGCAGATCTCACTCTCCTAACTCCTCAGTGAGGTGGGTGCTCTGAGACCTGGATTCACGGGAAGCCGACTCCCCGGGTGAAGTGATGGACTCGTTTCACAGCCTGGGAGTGCTGGGGAGAACCTACCTGTGCTGATTGCTACCTTAGCCCCTGCTCTTCCGCCGTTTCAGAGTGCCTCCTGGCCTTCACTTCCTGTGATATCTTTGAGTCTGTTAACAACTCTAAGAATATTTCGTGGTTTCACCAGGGCAAACAGGGCACCGTGCCAGGGGGTGTATAAAGAGGTATCAAGCCCAGTCCTTGGATGAGCTAGGGATTGACTGTGTTCTTTTTAACTGTTGGTAACTTTTTTGTGGTGGTCATCATTGTGGTTCCCACCCCCCCGGTAACTTTCAATGCTTTTGAACTCATGGCTACCAACTGAAATTTTTTTTCTGATTTTCGCAGTATGTGACCCTGAAAGAGATGCCTGCTGTGCTTGTTTTCAAAGATGAAACTTACTTTGTTTATGATGGTAAGTTCCAAAGTTTTAACTCATGTAAACACTTTATAATTACAATGTTGTATCTATTATAGGGCTTAGGTGTTGATGAAAGATTTAGTAAATGCAGCTACTGCTTACATTTCCTGTTAGTTGAATGACTGCTAGGTTTTTCTTACCCTTCAACTTTAGTTTTTCCACTCAGTGTTCTTTCATCCTGAGTTTGGCTACAGTAAATTTCTCTTTTTGTCAGATCATTTGCCTTTTTTAGAAATGAGCCCTAGGCAATTTCTGTACATTACTTTAAAATATTCAAAGTTAATTTTAAAAAGGTCTAACATTTGAGACACACAAAGATGTGAAAGAAATAAACCATCTTCAATAGTGGTGAAGCCCTGGGGTATTCTTCTGTAGCCTTTTCTCTCCCTCCCTGACAGAAGTAACCACCCACCTGCTATTCAGCATTTCTCTGTTGAAGCAAATACTTGGTCTATTTTTTAAATATTTTTATTATATCAAACACACATTATAGTAAAGAGAATGCTAAAATAGTAAGACTCTACATACACACCTGTCACCCAGGTGAGACAGTTACTAAGATCTTACCACGTTTGCTTCAACAATGTTTTTTCTTTGTTGAAGCATTGTAGCAAATCCCAGTGGCATTTCATCGCTATGTGCTTCATTATGCGTCCCTGACTACACGTTTATTATGCATTTCTTTAAAAATGTGGGCTTTTGGGAGTTTCTTTTTTTAAGATAACCACATGCTATTGTAACACTTAACAAAATTAACAGTAATTCCTTGGTATTATCAAATACTTACTACCAGAGTTTGCAAACTGGGCTTTGAGGTAGCTTAGGGCAGTGCAGCAGACTCACAGGGCATGCGGAGATAGTTCGGATTTCAGGAAGCACTGAAACTCGACATCTGTTGGACAGTACACAGCCACTGAAAAGCAAAAGCAAATGCAAAATCTCACCTACTAGCAATGTTAGTAACATTGTAAATTACATACAGTTAATGAAATAAAAAATTCAGTTTCTCATTCTTACTAGCTACTTTTCATATACTCAGTGGCCTTGTCTGGCTTCTGTTGGAGAGCACAGATCGGGACCATTTTATTCATATCAGAAACATTCTAGAGAGTTATTTTTACTGAACCAAACTTGGGTCCACTCTCCTGTGTGCAGTAAAGCCAATCTGCTGACGCCGGGTTGTGGTGAAGGAAAGGGCAGCTTCAGTGCAGGGCGCCAGGCAGGGAGTCCAGGGCAGCTAGTGCTCAAAGGCCAGGTGAGGGAGGGGAGTCACAGGGTGTGTGATCAGCTGGTGCACGGTCCTCTGATTGGTTGATGGTGAGGTAACAGCAAGGGCCATGTTAGTTAACATCATCAATCCTTAGGCTGCAGTAGGCCTGGGGGATAAGTGCTCCTGGTCATCAAAACAACTCAGGAAAGTGCATCAGATACAGTTACATAAGCAGAGAGTATGGGGGAAGGGTCGCCCAGGACTGCCCCTTAGGGGTTCTGCTCAGTCACATTATCTTATGACGGAGAAGAAACTAGAAGTGTTTGAGAGCTGTAAGCTTTGAGTTGCTTAAATGACTCAGATGAATAGAAGAATATCTAATAAAAGGAATATTTTGATTGTCCTGTTTTAGTCAAAGGAGCATTTTAATTGTTTTGACAGTAACATGAAGACAAAGCAGTTCTAAAATCTTATATCTTCACTATCTTTAGATAAATGTGAGGACTGTGTTTTATTTCTTAATGTAGTGTAATAACCACCATTTACCTGTTACGTTTTGTACAGCAGGTACTATCTATTTGCTTAACTCGATATTTTCATTTTATTCTCACCTTAATCTGGTAGTAAGACAGATAGATAAATATCCTGAGATTACAGAGAGGGTAACTAAGAATGTTAGATAAAGGAGAGAGATATGTAGTTAAATTACAGGTTCATTCCTTTGCGCATTCATCGGATATTTGTTGAATGGCTGCATGAGATATTGGGCTTAAAAAGGAAATTAAGAGGAACTTGCATATGTGAAAATGTGTTAAGGAAAATTCATATTCCATCCACTTATTCTTTATCTACACTCCTTGTATGATAAGCACTTAGTATATTCAATATATTGTCTTATTTGATCATTACAACAGTCTTTTGAGATCAGCAGTCTTACTGTTTTATAAACAAACAGGATTAAAGAGATTGTTTTTGTTTTTTCCAAGTTAAAATAGTACATGGTATAATCAAGATTCAGCCTTCAAATCTCTTGTTCTAGTTGCATTATGAGTTTCTTAACTCAGAGAGCCACTTCACTTTTTTTGGAAAAAGCCCTGATTTTCTTTATTAAAGAATACATTTAAGTCTAAATAATGGCTAAGAAGTGCCCTTCCCCATCCATGTTTCAGATGTGGCCTCCGATACATAAGAAAGAGAGGGGTAATGTGTTCAGTATCTACAGATGTTTTGAAGGCCAACATTTTCTAACTCAGTAGTCAGTACTTAGAACCTGCCTGAAGTCTTCAGATAAAAGGTTACTTTGAATGCTTATCCTACTATTACATTGTTAATAATTTCAGGAACAGTGGGATGGGGCTTAGGAGGATAGTTTATTTCCTAATGAGTTTTAGATTTATCACTTTTGTGAATAATCTTTAGAAAATTTGCTTTTTTGACCTGGAGTGGAGATTATGGCCCAATAATCAAATTCTAGTTTTATGTTTGTTTTCCTAATTCATAAATCCAAATCCATAAATGCTTTCAGATTTGCATTATATTACTTATTTTATAGGTTTGATAACTTGAAAATGTTTTGTTTAGCAATGCAAGTGACAGAAAAAGCACATCTTTCAAGAAATCAGTAAAATCCAGTCTTCATCCATATTGGTAGGCTTTTACATCAACTTCTTTTTCATGCAGTTGTAATAATTTTTCAGAATTATATTTCTAATCAGGATATAATTCTCTTGGATATTGTAAATGTTTCCTGTCTGCTCATCAGAGGAAGTATTTGACGTTGAAAAGGGCTGAAATAGTATGTGTGACTTTATATGTGAGTTTGTTTTACATATGAAGGAGGGTTGTAAACTGAGGTCAAAATGTCATAAAATAGAGAAGAACAAAGAAATTATAATAAAAATTGCCCATAATGCTATCATCCAAGACTAACCATCAACTCAGGAAAACTATTTATAGGAGTATATATATGCCTTCATTTTATCACTCTATCAGTTTTTTTCATACTTTATTTTTTACAGAGTTACAGTCATGTTGTAATATTGTTTTGTTACCTGCTTACCACTTAATTACTATAATTTTTTAAAATCTATAAATGGTCTCTCTCAACATGTACCATAATGATTTAAATTATTTCCTGTTTAGGATGTTTCAGTATTTCCTTTATTTTTATCTATCTTTGCTATTTTCAGTGGTGCTATAATGATGAATTGTTTTATGCATTAATCCTTTTTTTACATTTGATTGCTTCAAATAGCTTTCTAAAAATGAAATTTATGAATTTAAGATTATGATCCTCTGTCAGGCATTTTATACATGCTGCTAGATTAAACATTATAAACATTTTAACATCATATTTACACTATAATTTATCAACTTTGTTTTGTTTTTTTAAGAGTACGAAGATGGTGATCTATCATCTTGGATCAACAGGGAGAGGTTTCAAAATTATCTTACAATGGATGGCTTCCTCTTGTATGAACTTGGAGATACCGGTAACAAGCATATATACAACTCTCCATCACACTACAAAACTTTTCCTTAACTGATTACTTCAATCTGTAGAAAATGAATTTTTTAAGTTCTATTTCATAATATCATTCCTTCTTTCAGACCTGAATGCCACGTCAACTTTATGAGACTATAGATTAATATTAACCAAAGAACATACCTTTGCATGTGGAATAAAGATTAGCTAGAAAGGGTTTACTAATAGAAGTGATAGTGACAGGGAAAACAGAGCCTGGAGAATAAGGAAATGAGAAAAAATAACCAACTAGAAAGCTGTCCGCAGGACGCTGATTTTGTAATAGGAGTTGGAATACAAATTAGCACAACCTTTGAAAGCCTGCTTTTACCTGTGAAGAAAATATGGGCATCAGATTGGCATGGTTTCTTGAAGTTATGTAATTGAAAGTGATAAGCAAAGCAAATAGAAATATAGATGCAAAAAAGAAAGGTGTAAGGAATTACAGCTGTAAGGACTGGTCTAAAATAGATGTGAACTACAAAAATTGTAAGACGCTAACCATGTAAATTTTAGGAGGAAGTGTTTTGTAAATTTATAATGAATTACAAATAAGAAATAAGTCATGGTTATTGTTGCCACATGTTTCCATTCACAACTTTATGATAGTTGGATGAACGTATAGTTTTAGAGTAAAAGAATGGGAAAATGTTAGTCAAGGCTCAACTTTTTAATCTGAGAAATAATAGGTATAGAGTTTCTTCTTCATGATTTCCTGCTCTTGGATCTGGTTAAGAATACAAATTAGAAGCGCTCCAACACATTTTTCTGTTACTTTGTAACTTTCACAGGATGGTATTTGTTCTGGTTCCTGAGCCTTCTTTTAATGTTCTGTGTCTGGTGATGCTTCTGTCTTTGCTTTCCTTGCAGAGGGAGGTGTGTGTTAGCTCAGTGTTGGAAGTTGACGCGGATACTGTCAGAGACTGTGGGTTTACCTGCTGATTCATGCAGGCCCGCGTGAAGGGAAAAGGGGGAGAATGCAGGAATACAGTAGTTCTGCTCTCAGTACAGCATCGAAGGAGGCGGCAATTAAAATAGGCAGCTTTGCCAAAGCTCTTCCGTGTCTTCTCCCAGATTGATTTGGAAAGAAATTGGCTATGGCAATGTTTCTTTGTGTTCCCAGTGTAATTGCCCTGGTTGGGTGTCAGCTTTGGCTGTGCCCCGCTTGTGGTCCTCCCTGGACACTTGTCATATAAGCCCCGCAACAGACTCCTGGCCCTCGGTGGCTTCAGACACCTAGTGTATTTTCAGGACTTCTGACGACTGCAGGTCCCTGCATCTTCCGACTCCTGCTAACTTTCCCGTTTTGTCTCACTCTCTCCTGTCTCCGGCCACGCTGACTGTTCAGTTTCCTGAAAAGGCTGTGTACCTTGCACCAGAGCACCTTTAAACATTCTGTTTTCTTTGCCTGGAAAAGTGTAGTGAATTTATATTCATCTGTCAAACTCAGACCAAATACTGCTTTCTTAGGAAAGTCTTTCACTAACCCCCTGAAACTACATTAGTTTACTCTTATAAAATGTTTTTATAAACCCCATGTCCCCGTCCTCCCCAAGTCTTCTGATTGTTAACCACACGTCTGCGTGTGTGTGATTGTCTTCCCCAAGTGCAGAGCTGTGTCGGTGTGCTCCTCACTGTGGCCTCGGGAACTAGCCCTGTGCCGGGTCCACTGCTTGGCGCCCAGTGACTGTGAACTTAATACGCGAGAAACCCCCTGTGTCGGCCTGTGGGAAGATGCTGGACATGTTGTAGGCATTTTGAAAACACTCATGAAGCACTTTAAATTAAAGACATAACAGTAAAAACCAAACACTGAACAGTAAATGCAGTAATATTTCAAGAGGGGAAATAAACATTATGAACTAATGATTTTAGCTGAAGGTTAAAAGAAGCGTCAAGATTGTGTAGAATTTAAAGTTTGTATAGAATTTAAGTATGAAATTAGAGAAGATATGGGGATGAGATTGAAAGATTGTCGACTTAATCCTACGTTTATGTACCTACTCTGAGCCGGAAACTATCCCAGCCTTTTTGTACATGTAATCTCATTCAGCTCTCCAGATGACTTTGAAATAGATAACAGTTTCTAAAATAAGTTGGCGTCCTCTGAGGTTAAGGCACATGGCTAATGGATGCTGTGCTTCACTGTTGTTCTCCCAGACCTGGAACATGATAGACCCTGCTGGATTGCAGGGTCTGGTCTTCTGACTTCCATACCAGTGCTCTGCTTGTTACGTCACGCTGCCGTCCTGGAGGATGTCAGAGATGAATATGATTTATGTTCTGTTGAGGGTTAAATAAACTTGAGTCCGTTTTATTTTGTGCATTAATTACTAGCAAACAGTGGCCCGTGGTACCAAAGAGAATAACATTGTAAAAATCATTTTCTTGTTCTATACCATTTTTTCAGAGCTGTAGTCATTCTTAGTATATTTCTTTTATCAACTGGTTCCTTATAGTTTCAGTTTTCAACAAAATACTTCAGTGTGTGGGTTGTGTGAAAAAAATAACAATTTGAGTATATGAATTGTTAAATATTTACTGTTACTGATATTTACATTTCAGGGATGGGAGGTAGGTGGGAGTTTATCACTTGGAGTCAACAGTTCACTGTTTCACTCTGCCAAGCATAACATGTTTAAGATAATTGGAATTGAATTCTGGAAACTATATACTATTTTCCTATTCATTGCTACAGTAATAATTGAAAAGTTTAATGAGGATTATTGAATTTAGATATGTCATTCTTAATTTCAGGAAAGCTTGTGGCTATCGCAGTAATTGATGAGAAAAATACATCAGTTGAACATACCAGGTATGGTGCCTTGAAATAGTTTTAAGCTTCAAATATCATCCAATTCAGACTTTACATGGCTTCAGATAAACTTGACATAGTATCTTACTTTTCCTGCAGTGTTAGATATTAGATAAGGCAGCATATATGATAATTGAGTAATTATATTTTTCAAGTTGATGAAATGGAATATTCATGTATTTTTTGTTTTCTCACAGATTAAAGTCAATTATTCAGGAAGTTGCTAGAGATTATAGAGACCAGTTCCACAGGTAGGTGTTTGCATTCTGGAAGGCTCCATTATCTCTGTCTAATTAGGTTTTGTAATACAGTAAAGCAAACACAGAAGTATTTCATACTTTCAAAGATGAATCAAGGAGCTGAAGTGAATTACAGCATGTAGCATTTCAGTATGAATTGTTTGAAGTTTATTGATATATGTCTTACAGGTTTAAAAAAAAACTTGTAATTTGTATCATACCTGAGTCTTGATAGGATTGGGGATAAGTTGGTGGTAAGAAAATATGCACATACAGGCATATACCTCAGAGGTATGGTGGGCTTGGCTCCAGCCCAGCGCAGTACAGCAAGTCGCATGAAATTTTTGGTTTTATTTAACATATAAAAGTTACGTTTTTGTATATTAAGTGTGCGGTAGCATTGTGTCTAGAAACTGTACGCACTTTAAAAATGCTGGCCATCATCTGAGGCTTCAGTGAGTTGTAATCTTTTTGCTGGTGGAGGGTCTTGCCCCAATGTTGATGGCTGCTGACTGGCCAGGGTGGTGGTCACTGCAGGTCAGGGTGGCTGTGGCTTTTTCTTAAAATGGGACAGCGGTGAAGTTTGCCTCATCCATTGACTCTTCCTTTCATGAACGATTTCTCCGTAGCGTTGGTAGCATTTTACCCATAGTCGAACATCTTTCAAAATTTGAAGCAGTCCTCTCAAACCTTGCTCCTTTGTCAACTAAGTTTATGTAATATTCTGAATCCTCTAAATGTTGTCATTTCAACAGTCCTCACAGCCCCCTCACCAGGAGTAGATTCCTGGAACCACTTTTAAGGAACCTCTTCGTTTGCTCATCTGGAGGAAGCAGCTCCTCATCCATTCAGGTTTTATCACAAGATTATACCAGTTCATTCACATCTTCAGGCTCCTCTTCTAAGTCTAGTTTTTTTACTGTATTCACCACATCTGCAATTACTTCCTCTCCTGAAATCTGGAACCCCTCAAAATCATCCATGAGGGTTGGAATCAGCTTCTTCCAAACTCCTGTTAGTGGTGATATTTGACCTCTTCCTGTGAATCATGAATGTTCTTAATGGCATCTAGAATGGTGAATCCTTGCCAGAGGTTTTCAGTTTACTTTGCCCAGATTCATCAGAGGAATCACTATCTATGGCAGCTGTGGCCTTAGGATACGCGTTTCTTCAATAAGAAGACTTGAAAGTCAAAATGACTCCTTGATCCATGAGCTGCAGAATGGGTGTTGTGTTAGCAGGAGTGAAGACAACATTAATCTTATTGTGCATCTCCATTAGAGCTCTTGGGTGACCCAAGTGCATTGTCAATGAGTAGTAATATTTTGAAAGGAATCTCTTTTTTTCTGAGCAGTAGGTCTCAACAGTGAGGCTTAAAATATTCAGTAAACCATGTTGTAAATAGATGTGCTGCATCCAGGCTTTGTTGTTCATTTGTAGGGCAAAAGGCAGGATAGATTTAGCATAAATCTTAAGGACCCTAGTATTTTCAGAATGGTAAATGAGCATTGGTTTCAAAGTCACCAACTATGTTTGCCCCTAACAAGATAGTCAGCCTGTCCTTTGAAGTTTTGAAGCCAGGCATTGTTGACTTCTCTCTAGCTAGAAATCCTAGATGGTGGCTTCTTCCAGTATAAGGCTGTTTCATCTACACTGAAAATCTGTTGTTTAGTGTAGCCACCTTCATGACTTATCTTAGCCAGACCTTCTGGATACCTTGCTGCAGCTTCTACATCAGCACTTGCTGATTCACCTTGCACTTCATGTTATGAAGATGGCTTCTTCGCCTAAACCTCATGAACCCACCTCTGCTAGCTTCAGACTTTTCTTCTACAGCTTCCTCTCCTCTCTTAGCCTTCATAGAATTGAAGAGAGTTTGGGCCTTGCTTTGGATTAGGCTTCGCCTTAAGGAAATATTGTGGCTGGTTTGATGATCTACCCAGACCACAGAAACTTTTCTGCATATCAGTAATAAGGTTGTTTTACTTTCTTACCATTCGTGTATTCACTGGAGTAGCACTTTTAATTTCCTTCAAGAAGTTTTCCTTTGCATTCACAACTTGGCTAATTGTTTGCTGGAAGAGGCCTAGCTTTCAGCCTGTCTGAGCTTCCAACTTCACTTCCTTACTAAGCTTGATCTTTTATAGCTTTTGATTTACAGTGAAAGACGTGGGGACTCTTACACTTGAACATTTAGAGGCCATTGTAGTGTTATTAACTGGTCTAATTTCAATATTGTTGGGTCTTAAGGAATAGGGAGGCCCAGGGAGAGGGGGAGGGAGAGAGATGGGGGAACGGCTGGTTGGTGGAGCAGTCAGAACACACAAAACATTTATTGCTTAAATTCGAAGTCTTGTATGGGCACAGTTCGTGGCACCCCAAACATCACAATGGTAACATCAAAAATCACTGCTCACAGATCGCCAGAGCAGATATAATAATAATGAAAAAAGTTCGAAATATTGTGAGAATTACCAAAAATGTGACACAGAGACATGAAGTGAGCAAATGCTGTTGGAAAAATAGCACAGATAGACTCACTCAAAGCAGGGTTGCCAGAAACCTTCAGATTGTAAAAAACATAGTATCTGGGAACTGCAGTAAAGCAAAGCCCAATAAAAGGAGGTTGCCTGTATACTCATACATTTGAAATAAAATTAAACGAGCAATCACAAGTCAGATACAGATGACGATTTTAATAGGAACTCAAAATGTTCCTATTTTAATAGGAACATAAAAAATAGGTGATATTTTTTCCTGTATGCTAAATCAGTTTGTTACTGTTATAAAAGACAGTCAATATAAATTTGTTGCATTACTTAATTATTATGCCCTTTTTATTCTAAGTCTTCTAATCAAATATATCAATGATATATGTATTTCTTGTGTTACACAGTATGAAACAAAATAGAAATGTCTTAAAATTTGCTTTATTTGTTACGTGTTTGTATCTCAAAAGCCAGTAGGATTCATACTTTTTTATATTTATTGTATGTGATTGATATGTTAAATGTTTACAGTGTTTGCATGCTTACCAGACCCTAAATTCAGTGCTTTGTATTTATCTTTTTTTTGTATTTAATATTATCCTCTCTTTCTCTGTTCTTTTTGGTTGTTGTTGATTAGGGATTTTCAGTTTGGCCATATGGATGGAAATGACTATATAAATACCTTGCTGATGGAGTAAGTAAAATGCTAAATGACGAAATGATTTTGCTATCAACTCTATCAATTTTTTTTTTTTTTTGGCCACACTGTGTGGCTTGTGGGATTTTAGTTCCCTGACAAGGGATTGAACCTGTGCCCACTGCAGTGGAAGCACGGAGTCCTAACCACTGGACCTCCAGGGAAGTCCCGACTCTATCAATTTTCAAATTTCTGTTTTTCAGAGACAGGCAGGACTAATAGCTGAAAAAAGCAAACCTTTGTATATGCTAATGCAGATATTCTCCCATTAAATATTTACTTTAGTTTTTAAATCTGTATTTGAAACTTATTAAACTTTAAAGTTCTCTATACTAAAAAAAAAAACCCTCCCAATTTAATGTTGACAATTTATAGTATTTTGGAAAGAAAACATCATTCAAAAACTTGTAAACTTTGTAGTTTCTGATTAATATGAACCCTAAGTTCAGTTTTAATGAATAAATGTAGCTTAAGTAGAAAACTTTTAGCATTTAAGAATTAATTGCTATTCTAGAAGAATTTAACAGACTAAAGTAAGTTTATAGGAAAACTTTACAGCTCTAATATAATATTGATTATGCTTATGATGTAAAGATCTGATTTGTCACTTCAGAAAGTTGATATTAGAAAACATTTACCAGACCTATACTGAATTAATAAGTTTCAAATAAAAGCCTACTCTGTTCAGCAGACATTTAGTGAATATTTGCTGTAAGTCACACACTGTGTTTGGCATTGCACTGTTGATGCAAAAAGATGAGTAAATTATAGAGGCCCTGTCTTCAAATGCTCACGGTCTGCTGGGTGATACAGCACGGTGACTCCAGCACTGTGTGGGAAGGCCTGTGTGGTACGGAGCTCTGGAAGCACGGAGAGACCCAGCCACACCAAAATGCACAGCAAGGCGCAGGGGCTCAGGAAACGCTTGCCACAAGAGCCGGTAATTAAGGGAGAGTCTAAAGAATGAGAAGTAGCTGAATGAAGAATGCAGCGAGGTTATTTCAGGCAGAGTGTAATAGCAAACACAAGAGTGTTTGGAAAATGGGTCTTAAAATAGCCTGGACGTGAAGATGGCGGAAGCCCTCCAGAGCTTTACCAACTCATAAACCCAGAATAACATTCATAATTTTCAGGTAAGAGCCTAAAATTACGAAGTAAAGTACCTTTATTCATTTATAATCAATTCATTATCCTTATTCCAATAAGAATTTGAGAGGGTTTACCGAAGACATAAAGTACCAGATGTAATATATAATGAAGAAATCAAGACAAAGGGAAATAAAATAAAGGATCTATACAATTACTAAAGGTACTTAAACAATTTGAATTTTTAATACTCAAGACAAAGTAGAAAAACATTGTTTATACATTTCCCGGCCCCTATAGAATAAATGTTGCTTATAGGAGTATGGCTGACCTTATAGAAACCTAAGAGAAATTGCTATGCTATATAATCTCATAAAGGGGGGGCACATTATAATAGAAATTTATTTTTAATAGGACCTTTACAGTATATATAGTAGGGACTTCGATACAACCATTTATAATGTCCTTGGAGGCAAGCCAATAAAGTGATGCAGTAAAACATTTTGGGCAAGAGGCCAAAGCAATTTGCATCTGATAAATAACTCCTTGATTCAGGATAATATTCAGAATTTCTAGAGATGGATGGACATTCCTTCATGAGTATTATTTCTAATGTGAGTTGTGAGATAGAAGTTTTGCTGCAGTTATGGTCAGAGAACAATAATCTCTGCCACCAACCTCTTATTGTTTGTTTTTTTTTACAATTCATACTTGGCTTTTTTTTGAGAGAAGACAGAAGGCATATAATGATGGCTATATAATAATCGAAAGTCCTTAACGAGCACTTACCCTGTGACCAACACTGTACTGAGTTGTCAATGTATGTTTTCTGACTTTTACACTAACTCAGTAAGGTATAAGTACTGTTATTTCCATTTTATATAGATGAGGAAATTGAAATTTCTTAGAAGAAACTCAAGGAAGTTAAATAATAAGCCAAAGGATGCTCAGCAAGTAAGTCAAAGAGATCCAGTCCTCAAATGCAGATCTCTCTTACTGCAAAATCTCCTAACTACTGTAAGATCAGTATTGACACATAAATTAGTAGAATTTAATAAGTATTGATGCCTAAAAGTTTTTAACTTAGGGCAGATACGTGATATTATATAAGATAGTTAACACTGTAGTGTTGACGATGTTTTTTACTTTTTCTCAAAGTAAACAGGGTACTCTCAGACCTTTGGTCTATTAAATTACTTTGTGTTTGATTTTTGTGAGTATAGTTAAGAGGGAATAGGATGAGGTGCTATTTTTCATCGTTATTCAGATGGAATTATTTCAGAACAAATTGTTTCTAGTTCAGCTGTGTATTTAACTTTTTCATAGGATTTTTTATAGGAAGACCAGGTTCTACTTCATTCCATAAAAATAGAATTTTGCTACTGATGCAATATGATGATAACTAAACTACTATAAGTTAAAAAGTTGTCTCATGTTTTTATAAACAAGAATGAAGCTAAGATTTTTTTTTAGTTACAGTTAATTATTGCCTAACAATAATACTGGATAACAAAACACCCTGATACCCAGTGGCATAAAACAGCAATCCTTTATTCTCTCTCACTCGTCTGGGCTTGGCTAACCTTAGCCGGGTACAGCCAGACGTGGCTGCAAGCTGCCAGTTAGGTCCAGGTCTACCCTACGTGTCTTCCATGTCCTTGACCCTGGAGGGATATTTTCCTGGGGGATGTTCTTCTCATGGCAATAGCAGAAACACAAGAAGGCAAGCACATTTCAAGCCTCTGCTTCAGTCATTTCTGTGCCTTCCCGTTGGCCAAACCACACGGCTGAGCCCAACATCAGGGATCATGTTTTGCCTCAATGAGAGAAGGACGTGGTGTGGGGAGGGATAGAGAATTATAAACAAGAAAGCAACCTCCTGGACCCAGTTACTTATGTGGTGATAATACAGTGCTGTAAATTGTTTCTACTGTAGAGTTTTGTGCTTTTGCATAATACATTCATATAGACATATGAATAACCATAAATTGATAATGTAGGTGGCATACAGAATTAAGCACCTTTTTATGATTACGCAAAACCCTATTCTTGAAGGGATAAAAAATTATTTGAAGTAAATGACACATTAGTAATATTATGGTTTTTGTCTGCAAACTGAATTGACGTCTAGTATATCACTGAAGCACCCAAGAGGATGGGGTGATTATACCATAGGGTAGTGGGCGTTCAGAGAATTTGGAATAGTATTTATTGAATGTATATGATGTATTGATACAAGGAATGTGCTGGATATTTAACTTGAATTTTCTCATTTAACTTCTGTAGCAAGATAGGTACCCTGCCTCCCACACCTTTATTCATTTATAAATGAAAAGTATTAGACTTAAACAAAGTTTTGGGAAAGCATCAGGTCCGAACACAGGCAGTGTAACTCTGGAGACCATACTGTTCCTTCTGTAGCTGCCTGAATGCCCTTTAACTGAGGTGGGCTGTATATAATTAAAGTGATGGTATTTAAGATAAACTTGTGGCCAGGAATTATATTGCCCAGAAATTGATACTTCATACATAATAATTTTTATCCTTAGGTTTGATCGTGAATACTCATTTGTCTGATGTTGTATATTAATAGTTTTCATAAATGTTAATTTAGCTATTTTTTAAATTGATGCACAATTTGAGTTTTTCTTTATGTAAACAAAGGAAGGCAAAGCTATTATAGCTCCCTCCTTTTGCACGTCTAGTTATTTAGATATAATTCAAATAAGTATCAGAATATTTGTTGTCTCTGTGTTTAATATGTATTTTGATTTCTTTTGTTTTTCTATTTTCAGTGAATTAAAAGTCCCAACTGTGGTTGTACTGAATACTTCAAACCAACAGTACTTTTTACTAGATAGACAGATTAAGAATGCAGAAGACATGGTCCAGTTCATTAATAACGTTTTGGATGGCACAGTAGATGTGAGTTTTTGCTTTAATTGCAATGGGGTGATGGGAGGAGGTGGAGGAGAAATGAGTTATTTTCTTCTGATTCTGAAAGAAAGAGTCGGCCATCTCCCGGGGTGAGGGGCAGGCCTCCATCCTTGCTTCTCTCACATGATACGCAGAGTCACCTTCCCCAGGACCTAAGTGGCAGAGGCTGCTAATGGGTGGAATGTTATTTGGAGGACATAGGTTGTCATAGTGATGCGGGGAGGTGTTACTGGCATTTAGAGTCAGGGGCTAGGGATGCTAAGAGGTCTGCAGGGTACAGAGCTATCCGATAGCTCTTAGTACCTCTCTGGATTCAAGAATACAATTGCATTAAGTTACTTGGATTGGTTTTCTAAAAAAACCTGTGAATAGCACCACAGTTTCTTAAAAGATCAGGAAATGTATTTAAAACCAGCCCCAGTGGAGTGTTCCAAATATAATCCTACAAAATATTTCTCAGAAATGATGAATGGATAATCTTAACTGTTTTTTTCTGTAAACCATATTGCAGTGTTTTTCAAACTGGGTTGTAGCCCGTATTAGAGGGTCATGAAATCACTTCAGCAGGTTGTGGCCAACATGCATCTTAATTCAATATACTAGAATAAGATAAGAAGAGAAGAGACTTCAGTGCTTTTGTGAAGTGTAATTATTACTTTGCGAGACTTGTTTCAGCTTTACACAAACTATTTGAAAGTTGCCTCACAGAGTAACAAGTATTTCTTCTTTGGAAACACTCTTAATCACATAGTAGGAATTTTATATTTGTGAAAATAACACTTGTTGAAATGATGCTCACCTGTATGAGTGAGAACCCTTCTATTTGTAAGTTAGTGAAATTCAGGGAATGAGCCAGACTCCAGGCATGGCTGAATGCAGGGATTTGATGGATTTTCATCAAGAATTTTTCTCCCTCTGCCTTCCAGCACTTTTTTCTTTTTGGGTTTCATCATCGGAGAGACTTTCCCTGCAGGACAGTGAGGATATCCTGCAGCAACTGTAACACTCTCAGCTAAACTGAAAAGCTGGGCAGGCCGGCACTTGGGTGGGTCAGCCTCAGCCGAGCTGCTTGGACTGTGACCAGGGAGGATGCATTTTCAGAGGAGAATCAGACTGTGTTCATACGAGAGCAGAAGGAGGGTGGGACAGAGAAACCAGTAAATATTTACTCCGTGGCTCTTTCAGGTGCTCTGTGTAATCTTTTGTAGTCAACTCTTGACCTGCAATTGTAAGATTATCTAACAGAAAAATGAAATAATAGTACTGAAATAACAATTGTTTTTTTCTTGTTAAATTTAAGGCCCAAGGAGGGGATAGCATTTTGCAGAGATTGAAAAGAATAGTATTTGATGCCAAATCTACTATTGTGGTAAGTTGTGACAGTGTGTTTAGTGTCACTAATAATTGAGACTATATCGGTATATAGGTTATGTCTAACTAAGGTAAAATCTGGAATTTCAAAGGATTCGGTAAAAGTACATATTCTTAACTTGCAAGATAAGAACGAGTACATATTTACGTTAAGAAAAGATACTAATCAGGTGGATATTAAGTTTCTCCAATTATTCATTTCTGTATGATTGGTGAGTTAACTGGAATTCAGAATCACTGAACCTGATAGCATGACTTAAAGTGTTTTTCAGAGTTTCTTTCCTCCTCCTGCCCTTTTCAGCCCTTGGATCTGAAGCCTTCTTGCTGAGAACTCTAAGAAAACTCTCTTACGATCCCAGCTTCCACTGTCAGTCAGCCTGACTGCAGGGCAGCCCTAAATTTGTTGGAGCTTTAAACTTAGTTCTAGTTGTCTATCTTGAGCTCCTCCACGGGTATTTTCGTTCATTACGGCCAAAAGCAAAACAGAGCCAACCTTCTTCTGTTGGTGGGAAGTAAAGTCACGCTAATGACTCATCAGTTACTCCATGCATCCTTCAGTTTGTCAGTGGATTGGGCCCTTATCCCATTATGTGTGGCTGCTGCCCTAGCCTCCACTTGGTCTTCACACTTCCTCTTGCCCTGCCTCCAGTCCTCTGCCTAATTAGTACCACTAAAATAATCAGTTCTGATCACTTTCCTTCCCTTTTCCTGTGATGCCCCTCACAATTCTCTGTCCGTCTCACATATTCTCCTCCTCAGTCTTTGAGCTCACACTGTACCCTGGCCTGCCTTGTTCTTACGCTTACATTTCTGCCTCAAAACACCTTTATTCTGTGATGCCTTTTTCCATTATCTCAATCCAAAGTGACCCTGCTCTCTGAACTTGTCTATTTAGTTCTCAAGAGTTATAGTCACAATCCATAGAATAGATTATAGTTGCAAAACCTATTCAGTTAAATTGCTTTTACTTTTCTGGGAGCCGAGGAGACAGTATATAAACTGAGGGAAATTATTAAGTTAATGTTGCTTTACTACTAACCAGACAAGTAAAAAATTGTTAAAAATGTTGTGTGAAGAGAATATTATATGGTCAATAACTACCCTTCTCCATAGCAGATTCCTACAGGCAGGATATAACTGTACAGCTCTTGGCACATAATAGCCATCTCAAAAGAGACCTTTGTGATTAATGTGAGAAAAATAAACATCTTTTGAAAAGGTGGTGGACAACTTGGTGCCTTTTTCTGCTGCCAATAGCTGGTTATACATACACACATACATGGGTATAAACTTTCTAAAAGGCCTTTCACGTGATAGTCACAACGGAAATATTGACATTGATTCACTGGAACTAAAAGCAAGTTGGATGGCAGCAAGAGGAAGAAATCTGTAGTGGTTTTAAATTCATTTGTGCTTTTTACATCAGAATACAAATGAGGGATGTAACTATCTTTCCACAGTCTATATTCAAGAGCTCTCCACTTATGGGCTGCTTTCTCTTTGGCCTGCCACTGGGTGTCATCAGCATCATGTGCTACGGCATCTACACGGCTGACACAGACGGAGGTTACATAGAAGAACGGTATGAAGTGTCCAAAAGTGAGACGGAAAGCCCAGAACCGGTAGAAGAGAGCAAAGAAAAACAGGAGCCCAGGAGTGGGGACTCTCTGGTGCCTGCAGTGCAAGAAGCCAAAGATGTGTTAGAAAAGAAGAAAGACTGAGACTTTACCAAGATAAAATATTTCATAGGATTTCAAATTATTAAAGAGTCTATTCATTGAATTTAGACATTTAATCATGACCTTTACAGAAGAGAACACGGTGTTTGTATTTTGCTGACATCAACTGCATGGGTTATAAAATAGTCCTTCCGTAAATGGGGAGATGTTTGGAGCAAAGAGATGAAACGTTTGTCTAAAACAAACAAAATCAAAACACTCCATCAAAGTTTACCTTATAGATGTTGTTCTACCAGATCAGTTCTATTTGCATGTTTCTCTATCTGAATATTCTGTGACAAAATTAAGATTCTTGGGCAGAATATTTAAATTGGCCAGGCAGGTAGAAGATACGTGTGTGATAGAGAAAAATAACACCTCCACGTCCTACCATCCATTCTCCTCATGTTTTGGATAAGATTTCTATGGACAAAATTAAGTCTTTAAAATTTAGGCACTTTAAGGAGAACTAATAACTTTTTCCAAGGATCAAATTAAGATTATGAGATAAAATAATTTGGTTTTATACAGCATAGTGATTTTGTTATTTTTAAAGGAGAGGAAATGTTACTTTTTACCTTTATACTCAGTTACATTATAAAACTTTCATACGGGCCTATATTGTGGGAAAAAAAAATAGTCTTATGTTTAATCTTTGCAGCAGAAACAGGATTTACTTGGATCAGTGATTTCAAATGATGCCCTGGACACTGAGAAGGTGTCTCAGCCAACACTGCAGGAAGGGAGGGGGGGTCTCTGTCACCCCTACACTGCTTTAGCCAGAACAGCATACTTTTATTTCTCTGTTTTATATATTGGGATTTCGTCTAAAATTTTTTCTTTGGTAAAAAGCTCCTGCTGCTTTTTAAAAAGTAATATATATCATGTTTTTATTTTATGGTATGGTAACTTTATAGTAATTTATAATCTAGTGTGTGTGTATGTATATCTATATATACACATACACACATACATATACACATATGAAATTTATTGACATACATCTGTTATGTAATATTATGGGCGTGTCTGTGTTCATAATGAGTAATGAGTGGCATAATCAGCCTGTTAAAGAAACTTCATGTCCAGTGATTAAAGACATCTGCCAGTTACCTTCTCCGTCCTCCCCGCTGTTATCCATTTCAGCTAATGACCCCTCATCTTCTCTCCATAACGGAATAACATAGGAATTCTATCCCAAGTTATGTACAAAAACTGGTATCTTTTAAATAACAGTGTGGTATGTTTATGGTAGATTAGTTTATGTTTGAGACCTTCATTTTAGCTAAGTTTAGGATTTTTATTAAGTGACTGTAATCTGGGTGGTTATTCATTGAGTTATGAAACATTTTTAAATGTTTCATCACTTTAAAACTATGTAATTCATGGTCCTGATAGTGAAGCTGTTTAGGGCTGTGGTCCCCAGGGCAGCCTGGGGCTATTTCTGATGCCAAGCTGATCACTACTAACCTGAGGCTCTTGTGCCTTTGTCCTAAGGAGTTACTAGGAATTGCTCTCTCGTACCTTTTAGTATATAGTCATTACTTGTTCTTGATGTTTGGCGCCCCTTTATTATCATTTTTATAAATGAAGCACGTATGCAGTCCCAGGAAATTTCACGAAATACTAGAATGAAATGTTATTCTTAAATGGAAACTGGAGATAAATGCTGTTAATTTAACAAGGAAATTTCTCTCTAAAGAGTAATCAGACAGTCTTTTGGAAAATAGATATTAATGTTGGCAGCAGTCAAGCTTATTTTGCAGCTGCGAAAAGCTTAGCTAAATACAGATGCCTTACGTTAGTCTCGGCCTGGTAGGGAAGTTACAGCTTAGCCACTACCAGTGGCAGGAGGAAGCTGTAAAAATGTCATGGCTTCTTTCTTCATGTTTATCACTAACAGATGTCTGTTATCTGCATGGTTTTGTCTTTTGTCAAGCACACCTATAAATTAAAGACCAAAACAGGGAAAAGAAAAAAAAAGGAGCAAAGCTTAATATGTATCAGCAAAGTCCAGTGTTCTTTGTATTTCGAGATTTTCTTGTCTATAAATTAATGCCTTAGTTCTCTGTTATCTTTTTTCACAACACTATACTGTTGCCCCATATTCTTATTTGTGTTTTCAAAATGTGTCTATTTGGGAAACAAAAAGTGTAGATGATTTGTAAGTGAATAATTTTTTTTTTATTAAAATTTTGCTTTTTACTTGTCTCTATTTTAGGATAGTGTCACAATATCCTCACAAAACAAGTTGAAAGTTTTTGCTCACTAGTATGGTTTTCCCCTCAATGTGATATCAGCGTTTACTAGAAATGCTGTTTTCGTTTTAGGAAAAATTACTTCAAAATAAAGGAAAGTTTCTTAATGAATCTTGTAGAAGAACATAGATATCATCCTAATTCAGTGATGAATCTCACTGTGATTACATATCAATAGGGGGAATACCCTTCAGTAAGTTGGAGTTTTGCCTTCTCTTTCAGTGGCAATAAAGTTCTGTTTCTGACTTCTAATATTCAAGATGCTAGATGCTTGCTGTTGCTGAATCTGGTGCTCAGACAGTTTTTAAAGATATTTCAAAGAGAGAAAGTGCATGTTTTTATGGAGCAGTGCACCTCATTATAGCTTGCCGTCCTTTTTGTTTCATTGTATACGTTAATATTTCTCTATATCTGAAACTTAGGTGGATTAGACCTGGAGTTTTCACTTGCTTCTTTATACATAGTGCTCCCTGGTATCTGAGTTAGAAATAACGTGAAGAGCCAAATGTCTAGCAGCTGAAGGACGGGTCTATATGAATAGTAAAACAATTAGCTATATTGTTTTCATTCAGTGGATATTTGTTCTTGTTGATATTTCTTGTGTTTTGTTTCAGGGGCTTTTGGGTTTTGATTTTGCAAAAAGTAATTTAAATATTTTCATCTTTGCTTCACATGATATGGAAGTAGGACAGGGAAAACCACTCAGCTATTCTTTTTATACAGAGAGTGTTCAAATAAACAAGTGTAGGATGTTAAGACTATCAATTAATTGGTGGGATTAGGTTTGCCATTTTATTTTTATAAATATATATTTTTTCTGAATGTGTCTGAGTCCAAGAGTGGGCAAAAAATAATTTTCTACTTTGGACTAATCTATAAAGGGTTTTGAAAGTTTGTGTTACTAACTCGTTGAATTCATGATATCCTGCCTTAAGGCACCAATTGTAAATCTTCATTTTTCTAAAATAAATTAATTGAAAACATGTAACCGTTTGTTATTTTTACCATTTATCTTTTGGTTGTGTGGGATGTAAATAATTCTCTATGCAAAGCAAAAAGGACAGTTGAGACTTCATCTTTCACGGTGGTTTTTTTTTTTCCTTCTATTAATTTTAAGTTATTTGTAATTATAGAAACATAGTTTTAAAATTTAAACAGACTTGATAGAGATAAGATTGTAATCTAATTCTTTCATATTGAAGGTGAAGAACCTGAGATTCACAGGTTTGATATATTTTGTATTTGTAAAACCTGACCATTTTAAATATTAATTACAGAGTTTAGAGCTAGAATAATTGGATTTGAGTCCTTGATCCAACTGCCAGAGTGTCATCTTGGACACAACACAACCACCCCTCACTTTCACTGTCACTAAAATGGGAATCTAAAGCCTCAAGGTTTTCTTTTTTAAAATAGCAAACAAATGGGGAAAGTATATTATGAAAAAACAAAACTTTATGCAGATTAATGTTTTGTAGTTTGTTTTTCCCATTTTATGCCATGAGCATATCTTTTAGTGAGAATCACTCTGGCAGAGGAATAACAGCCACAAAATTGGTTCCACACAGCCTGTGGATGTGTGCAGACTGACTGATTAGGACGGGCCTCTTCTGATAAGAGCCCTCAACTTTTTTCTAAGTCCATTCCTATAAACAGAAAAGATGTTTTAAACAGGTAGTAAAAAAAGGGGCTATTATTTTCTTGCAGTTTATTCTTTCAGCAAATGTTTATTACATGTCTTCTACGTACTCCTGAGGATACAGCCGTAAAAGGCAGTCACAGCCTCAGTCCTCATGGAGTTTTTAGCTGCAATAACTGGTACTCGGGCTTACTTCAAGCGCTCATTTGTAAGTTTTCTACTTTTCTGTTTTTCTTAGTTTCCCTTCTCATATAATTTGTTGTTCAGCATCTAATTGTTGCTATTAGATCTTTGGGACTCCGAGGGTAGGAGACCAGTACAATACAGCTGGCATCAGTATGAAGGGTTGGGATTTACTCAGCATGTCTGTGACTGTCCGTGGGTGGATGACACGGAGGGGGAAGCAGTTCAACGTGAGGGAGCTCTGGGCGAAAGCAATCTCCAGGGACACAGCCGGCTTCCTGGGGGGGTCAGAATCCCCACATGGAAAATATGTAAACATAAGCCGGCATAAGGCCATAAATGCAAGCACTAAAGCCACCCTCTACACCGATGTTCACAACCGTCCCTTCCCTTTCCAGCAAATGTCCCAAAAGGGTGTCGGCCAGCTTTTATATGGTAAATTTTAGTTGGGTGGATGAAGCAGTCGAGTGAAACTGATGAATATGTAATAGGAACTGAGGATATTTTTCCTCTCATTCAGAGTTTTCACATCGATCTGGCATCCCTGTCTTCATCACTAGGGTCACTTAAAGATTTATGGAACAGTGGTTTTCTTCCTTCGAAGTTGTTTGATACTCTGCAGCTTCTGAACATATGTTTGATGTTAGTAGAAATTCTATATCAAACCATAAGAATCCAGTCACAACTACAGTAAATGATCAGATTTTAATGACTCATACAATGACATTTAGTATTTTGATGTTGTACACTCAAAACTAATCTGTGTAACTAATAAATCTGTGTTAAATTCCTTTGTCTCCTTTTTATTCTTAAACTGACTGTTAAACTATAAGATTCTGAATTGGCATTATTGAGACTTCTGGACTGTATGACTTTTCCAAACAATACTTTATTGTTCTAAACCAAATAATTGATAGAAGGACTTAATATTAAAGATTTTTGTAAAGTAAAAGATTACTCCCTTTTTGTACAACAGGTGATTTTTTTTTTAACATCTTTATTGGGGTATAATTGCTTTACAATGGTGTGTTAGTTTCTGCTTTATAACAAAGTGAATCAGTCATACATAAACATATGTTCCCATATGTCTTCCCTCTTGCGTCTCCCTCCCTCCCACCCTCCCTATCCCACCCCTCCAGGCTGTCACAAAGCAACAACAGGTGATTTTGAAAGGAGTAAAAGAATTTACAAAATTCACCCTATTTTTGGACATAGGTTAATTTCACATTTTCAATAAAAACTAGGTAGTTTAGTTTTCAGGATTATCATATAAACCTCTTTTGCCCAAATTATTACCCTTACTACAGTCTATTCCTCTCAGTTGACAGTATGATCTCAAATTGTGAATTGCTGGCCTTCAAAATAATGAGTTTTTCTCTATGGTCCTTGTAAATACATAGAGTGATTTAAATATTAACTGTGAAGCATAACGGTAATTTCCACAGGTGCCTAAGGACCTCTAGGAAGATACACCGGGAACATTTTTTTCTAGAAAGATCCAGTTATTTATTAAATTATGAGGTACTCCTCAGATATTATGGAGGAAAGTCGATGATTAATCTTTTTTTTTAATGTTTTTTTTTACATCTTTATTGGAGTATAATTGCTTTACAATGGTGTGTTAGTTTCTGATTAATCTTTTTAAATGTATAGTATGAAGTATAGTTTAAAGAGCCTTTGGAGATAAACTGTGGTTGATATCTGAGTAGAATCGCTCAATAATTGTTTAAATCTGAACAAGTCACTTAACCTCGCTTGCTCATTATCTCTGATGGGGGGGGCAGTGGCTTGTCCCCCCCATTCCCTTCTCAGGAGTGAAGTTGGGAACCTTAAACTCGGTGGTGTTATCATGTATGTGCATAAAGAGGCTGAAGTTTTATGGGACTCGGTAGAAAAATGTCAAGACGTTAGGGTGTGTTGGCCACTGCCTGTGATCTTCGGGAAGGTCCTTATAGGAAAGAGACAGCATGGGAAAACAGGAAGGGAGCATACAGCTCTGCAGAGAGCCTTCTCCCTGAAGCCAACAGTATGTGACTGAGGTAACCATTTTCCTTTTTTCCTTGCAAAAGCCAAGTTCCTTGCTTCAGGATTAATTTAAGAATCACTCACATATGGCCACAGGGAACGATAGTTTAAGAGTCTCCTGACCACGTTGCTCACTCTACTGCCAAATGATGATCTCCTAGCTCTCTATCTGGAAAAACACGGTATTTCCAGGAAGTAGTAAGTGCTGTACGTTGTTTTCTTATCTAAATTTCTGTGGGGAAAAGGATTTCAGTAAATGATGCTAAATGAGTTGGCTATCCCATGGGGAAAAAGAGTGACCACTGATTGATCCCACCTAACACCTTACACAGAAATTAATTCAAAATGGATCATAGACCTAAACATGAAAAATTTTCTTAGAGGAAATCTTCCTGACCTTTGGTGTAGAACAATTGCTTAAAGAGGACACAAGACGACTAACATGAAAAAAAGTATCAATTGAATCTCATTAGAATTAAGAATTTCTTTTTATCAAAAGACACCATTAGACAGTGAAAAGAAAGATGTTCACAATTTTTACATCTACCAAAGGACTTCTATCCAGAATATACAAAGAACATTTGTAAATCAATAAGGAAAAGACAACCCAATGTAAACAATGCACAAAGGATGGGAATAGGAACTTTACAAAAGAGAATTTCCAAGTGGTCAATGAGACTACTAGCAGGTACTCAACATCACCCCTCATTCAGTCTCTTGATTTTAAAAATCTCACAAATCTGTATCTCCAGCTTGTATATCTGACTTGACATCTCTACTTGGGTGTTTAATAGGCAGTTCAAACATCATGTCCTAAACACTTTGATTTTCCACGAAATTCCTGCTTTTACTCAGTCTTTCTCATCTCAGTAAATGGTAACTTCGTTTTTCTAATTACTCAGCTCAGAAACCCTGGATCTATCCATAGCGTCTTTCCTTCAACACCTGATATCTAATCTGTGAGAAACTGTTAGCTGTATCTCTTTTTTAAAATTTATTCATTTTATTTATTTTTGGCTGCGTTGGGTATTCGTTGCTGCGCGTGGGCTTTCTCTAGCTGCGGCGAGCAGGGCTACTCTTTGTTGCGGTGCACGGGCTTCTCATTGCAGTGGCTTCTCTTGTTGCGAAGCACGGGCTCTAGGCACGTGGACTCAGTAGTTGTGGCTCACGGGCTCTAGAGTGCAGGCTCAGTAGTTGTGGCGCACGGGCTTAGTTGCCCCGTGGCATGTGGGATTTTCCTGGACGAGGGCTCGAACCTGTATCCCCTGCATTGGCAGGTGGATTCTTAACCACTGTGCCACCAGGGAAGCCTTAGCTGTATCTTTAAAGAAGTCAGGCTTCACACCATTTTCCAGGTTCCCATCTCTATTCAGGCTGCTGTATCCGTTACCAGGCTTTGCTGTTCCACCCTTGCCTGACTGCAGTCCACCATCAAAAGAGCAGCTAAAGGGATCCTCTTAAAATACAAGGAGGATCGTGGCATTTGTCTGCTCAGAACATTCCAGTGGCTTCTTATCTTACTCAGCATAATGCCCATGTTTTTGGTTATGTTATTGGTTGAAATATGTCCCCCAAACTTCATACATTGAAGTTCTAACCCCTAGTGCCTCAGAATGTGACCTTATTTGGAAATAGGTTTGTTACAGATATAATTAGTTAGCATAAAGTCATACTGAAGTAGGGTGAATCCTAATTCAGTATGACTGGTGTCCTCACAAAAAGGGAAATTTGGGGACAGACACACATGCAGGGAGCATGCCATACAAAGATTAAGGCACAGACTGGAGTGATGCTTTTGCAAGCCAAGGAACACCAAAGATTGCCAGCAAACCACCAGAAGCTGGGAAAGAGACATGGAATGGATGCTCTCTCGCAGCCTCAAGAACTAACCCTGACAACGTCTTGACCTTTGACTTCTGGCCTCCAGAAGAACAGTGAGGCAGTAAAATTCTGTTATTTAAGCCACCCAGTTTGTGGTACTCTGTTACGGCAGCCCTAGCCAACTGATACAGCCTATAATGCTTTTTCTCAACCCCCACTCGTTACCACTTTTCTCTCCTCCCTACCTCCCCCCTCCTCTTGTTCATTCCATTACAGCCTTCTGCCCCTCGCTGTTCCCCAAACCCACCAAGCATGCTTCTTTGTCCTTGCTGTTCCCTTGGCCTGGAATAATGTTCTCCTGGATGTCGTCACAGCTCACGCTCTCCTTATTTTAGGTCACCTACCCATTAACACCTTTATTAACCAGTCTGTATGGATTACACCTCCTGGCCTCCCACTTTCCCTAACCCCTTTATTCTGCAGCTTTGTTTTGTATAAGCTCTTCTTTATAATATTATCCATTGTTTGTTGCCTGCTTCCCCTCTCAAATACACAATAAATGTAAGCTCTGAATGGTCAGACTTTATTTTTTTTCAAGGCTATACTCCCAGTTGCTAAAACATGCTTGGCATGAACTATGCATTCAGTAAAGACTTGTAGAATGAATGAATGA